GATGGACAATCTGATTCCGTATTCATAGAGATACACGAAGAAAAAAGGAAAAATATAATTGTAGGAATAATCTATCGACCTCCAGACTCTGACCCAAGTTGCTTCATGAATAAACTAGATGACTTCTTAAACTGCATCAATGGCTTTAATAAAAACTGTTTTATTCTTGGGGATTTTAACATCGACCTGGCCAAAAATAGTGGCATAAAAAAAGACTTCCTTAATTGTCTTTTGTCTTCATCTTTCTTCCCAACAATAAACTCGTACACCAGAGTCACTGAAACCACCAAGTCCATCATTGATAACATTTTAACAAATATCAAAAATGCTCGTTTTGACTCTGGTGTAATCATGACAGACATTACTGACCACTTCCCAGTTGTACTCTTCATTGATCTGGATAGTAAGTCTGGGAAACAACCTAGCAACAATTCTCCTATCAAGGGGAAATATAAAGTAAAAACAGAAAAATATTTGTCTAAATTGTCAGTAAATCTTAAGTGCAAAACATGGGACTCTGTTTATAACTGTGAAACTCCAGATGAAGCTTACAATACTCTTATTAATGAAATAACAAACCGTATTAATTCAACAATACCGGAAAGGACCATTAAAGAAAATAAGACTGAACGGAAGGCATGGCTCTCAAAGAGAATCTTAAAGTCAATTAAAAGAAAAAATAGGCTCTATAAAAAAATACATTGAAAACCCAACTATTGAAAACAAAATAAAATATACAAACTACAAGAACAAGCTAACAAAGTTAATACGAGCTAGTAAGCGAAACCACTACATCGAGCTTATTAAGGCTTCTCGTGGTGATCAAAAGCAGTGCTGGAAAGTCCTGAATAGCGTGCTCAGCCGGGGTCAAAAAACTACTGTCCTTCCTGACACCATAATCCAGGAAAATGGGGAAAGCTTTCTAAACAATGATGATCTTGCTAACAACTTCAACAACTACTTTAATTCAATAGGAGAAACACTCTCAGAAGCCATAAGTCCACCAGGGGGAGCTAACTACAAACAATACGGGAATTATCCACACTCCTTCTTTCTAACACTAAAACTGAAGTTTCCAAAATTATAATGAACATGAAAAGTTCACATACTGCTGGTATTGATGAGATATGTAGTAAAATTGTCAAATTCATAGCACCGGACATTGTAGATCCACTAGTTTATTGCATTAACCTCTCTCTAATTCAAGGTGTAGTTCCGAAAATGACTAAGATTGCAAAAATATTACCAATTTTCAAATGTGGTGACAAAAATAACCGGTACAAATATCGACCAAAATCCATCCTACCTACATTTTCCAAGGTGTTTGAGAGAGTTGTGTACAATAGGCTTAGTGGATACCTGGACAATATACTCATCCCAGCTCAGTATGGATTTAGAAAGAAGAGTACCATCTGTATGGCAGTTCTCGATCTCATTGAAAAAATTAATGACGCTGTTGATAAAGGGGAGCGTGGAATTGGTGTCTTTCTCAATTTATCAAAAGCGTTTGACACCATCAATTTTGAGATTCTTATTGGCAAACTGGAACATTATGGGGTCAGGGGAAATGCACTCAGGTGGTTTAAAAGCTATTTATTTAAAAAGGAGCATTATGTCCAATTACAAAACAGCAAATCCCAGCATTAAAAAATCAAATATGGAGTCCCCCAGGGCTCTATATTGGGGCCACTTCTCTTCATTGTTTATGTTAATGATCTTATGAATTTATCTATTGTCCTTCATAAGGTATTATTTGCAGATGACACAAACCTATTCCTGTCACACAAAAACTTGGACAGCTTAGAAGCACTTGTAAATGAAGAACTTATCAAACTAGACAATTGGCTAAAATGCAACAAACTATTATTAAACATAAACAAAACCAACTTTATAATATTCCGTTCAAATAGAAGCTGGAAAGACATTGAAAGTATTAAAATACAAATTAATGGAAGAGTTCTTGAGAGAGTAGAGAACATACATTTTTTAGGAATATATTTGGATGAATTCTTGAACTTTAAAAAACACATTACCTAATTAATAAACTATCTAAATATGTTGGTCTCTTTCTCAAATTGAGACATCATCTACCCCTTGAAGCTCTCGTAACTCTATACCGGTCTGTATTTGAACCACACCTTCATTATTGTAATGCAATATGGTGTAACACGTATCCAAGCCACCTTGAAAAGCTACAGATTCTGCAAAAGAAATTAATTCGTGTTATTGCTTGGTCTAAATATGATGCTCCCTCTGATCCTCTCTTCTACAGGTTTAAGCTACTGAAGCTGACTGAGTGCAACAGATTTCATAACGCTTGCATTATGTATAATGTAGTATACAATCTAAATGCTAGGCTCCCCACAGTCACAACACTAGAGGGAAACCCTTACTGCGAGGCATGCAAGGGCCCTGAGATCTGGAATGAGCTGGACTGCTCCATAAAAGAATCATCTTCTCTTTACATTTTTTAAAAGAATCTAAAGCATAAACTACTGCTGGATTATGCATAATGCAACCCCCTATAGCAGACAGCCACCTTACCATTTTGTTTTATTTTGGTCTGGCCCCTGTAAGATCTGAATGAATGAGCACCAACTCATTTACTTAAGGTTTTAATATAATTTCCTGTACCATGTTATTGCAGAACTGATGTGTGTTGAAGCGGACAGTATATGTTTGACAGACATGGGTAAGGCATGACTGCTACTGGCAGTCTCAAAATGCATTGAACTGGGGTGGTGGGAGGATGTCTTTTTTGTTGTCCTCTTTTTTTGACATGTAAATGTTATTGGGGCCCCTACATAAAAGACAATTGTGCTTCATGGGAGTCCCTTCACAAACCTACATGTTTATGTAAAAGATGTGGATTCAACTTAGGTTTGTGAACAAATAAAAAAATAAAGTAGAGCGTTGGTCTTTGCACCTGGGCTCGAACCCAGCCCCAGGTGCAAAGACCAACGCTCTACTTTATGTCACCTTGACCCATGTCACCTGCTCCCACTGATGTTTGCTGTCGTTGTGTCCCTGGGCAAGACACTTAACCCCACATTGCCCGAAGCCTCCGCTGAAAGACCAAGGCCTTCTCGTCGCTGACGCCATCTGAAGCCATCTTCCCGTGGACCCACCACCTGCAGAGGATCCGTGCGGGACTGGTGCTGAGACTTGGGTGGCAGCTCTGATTGCCGTCACACACCGCCTCCTTTTGCGTTCACCAAAGTGAAAGCGATAGGCCCTTATAGGCAGTTCGCGCTTAGGCAAAAAATAAATACAAAATCATTCATAATCACAGGTTTGAAAGAAAGCTACAGCAGCATAAGTCTGTCCACCAGAGGGAGGCAAACACAAACCTGCTGTAATTAATTGGATTCTCTTATATAATTGCAACCATGAAGGAGACCAGAGAGAGAGAGACCATAGAGAGACCAGAGAGAGAGACCAGAGAGAGAGACTGTATTCAAAAACAAACAGACGTTACACAGATCTGGTTTATTGTAAAATGAGTGTTACAGAAGAAAGATGGAAGCTGCCGTAATCCAGGACCACAGTCACAGACACAGTCTCAGCTTCAGCCTCAGGTCTCGGACTCGACCTCAGCCTCAGGTTTTGGCCTCGGTCTTGGTCTCAGGTCTTGACCTCAGGTATCGGCCTCTGATCTCGATCTCCAGAACTAACTCTAATCATAAACAATATTTACATTTGTGCTTTTGGAAACTGGCAATACGTCCCTCATTCACACATGCATCATATGTACAACTACAGAGCCACATGGGAGAGACAGGGACCATGAAGGCTCTGGACCATAGACCTGGTCTGACCTAGTGAGTTTGATCCCCATCCACACACACTGGAGATGAAGTTTGGGTACGTAACTTTAGCAACTCAGTCATCAAACGTATGCAATAAGTTCCTGGGTCCAGAGAGGGTTCAGAGAGAGACCAGAGAGAAACCAGCCAGAGAGAGACTAGAGAGAGACCAGAGAGAAACCAGAGAGACCAGAGAGAAACCAGCCAGAGAGAGACTAGAGAGTGACCAGAAAGAGAGCAGAAACCAGCCAGAGAGAGACCAGAGGGAAACCAGAGGGAAATCCAACCAGAGAGAAACCAGAGGGAAACCAGCCTGAGAGAGAGACAAGAGAGACCAGAGAGTGACCAGAGAGAGAGACAAGAGAGAGAGACCAGAGAGACCAGCTCTCAGTCCAAAGAGTCAAACAGGGTTCACACAAAGATCACATGATTCCTGTCGAACAAACACGTGTTAAAGTCACAGAGCCGAGCTTTAATGGGAGACAGTGGAACTCATTATGACACGAGGAGAAAGGAACTTTTCACATAATTACAACTTCTCCTGAGCTCTAAAGCCATGTTTGTACCAGCTCTACTCTACAGTGGAGGAGAGAGACCAGAGAACGGAGTAGAGTAGAGTAGAGTAGAGTAGAGTAGAGTAGAGTAGTTTTCTGTCTTTGTTGCTTCAATGGAAATGATAGAAACCAGTTTAAACAAAGGAGCCTTCTTCATAAAGTGCTTGACATGGAACGGAAACATTTCTAACAGAGAGAGAGAACCCCAAAGAGAGAAAGACCCCCCCACAGAGACCTCAGTAAAACCCAGAGAATCCTCCGTACGAACAAATAAATAAGATTCAGATCACTTTAACATGTGTCTCTTTGAAGTATCTTTAAAGTCTGTTGCAGTATCTTTAAAGTCTGTTGCAGTATCTTTAAAGTCTGTTGCAGTTGTATAAAATGATTCAGATACAGAGTGTGACGTCGTCCTCTTCGTTCTGAGACGAGGATCTTTGGTTTGGAGGGAAAGTGCAGTTCGCTACAGATACTGGGACTGGTTTTGGGCCTTCAGAGCTGGTCCTGGTCCTGGTTCTGTCACTAGACCTGGCCCTGGTTCGGTCTCTAATTCCAGACCTAGTCCTGGTTCAGGTCCAGCCTCCAGGCCTGATTTTGGCTCAGTCTCTAGACCAGGTCTTGGTTCTGGTCCCAGTAGATGTTACTCGTACAGTGTGACGGTGCAGTAACAGAGAGCAGAGATCCTGCGATCCACACTGGCTTTATCTGAAACACAAGAAGGACTGGGATCAGACCTCTCTTGGTCTGCCTCAGTCTCTGCCTCAGTCTCTGCCTCAGTCTCTGCCTCAGTCTCTGCCTCAGTCTCTGCCTCAGTCTCTGCCTCAGTCTCTGCCTCAGTCTCTGCCTCAGTCTCTGCCTCAGTCTCTGCCTCAGTCTCTGCCTCAGTCTCTGCCTCAGTCTCTGCCTCAGTCTCTGCCTCAGTCTCTGCCTCAGTCTCTGCCTCAGTCTCTGCCTCAGTCTCTGCCTCAGTCTCTGCCTCAGTCTCTGCCTCAGTCTCTGCCTCAGTCTCTGCCTCAGTCTCTGCTTGCTGATTGGCCGGACTTACATTTCAGAACATTGTCCACGTCGCTGGGGTCCTGCAGGGTCCTAGAGAGTCCGTCCAGCAGCATGGAGGCTTTACTGTAGCGGTACGCGATGTCTTCAGACTGTTTGAACATCTCATCCAGAGCAGCAGACTGGACCTGGGGGAGAGAGGGGAGACGTGAGGGTGAGGGAGAGGTTCAGGTGTGTGTCGGTGTGAATGAGGCTCAGGTCTGGGTCTGTCCTGGTCCTGTCCTGGTCCTGTCCTGGTCCTGTCCTGGTCCTGTCCTGGTCCTGTCCTGGTCCTGTCCTGGTCCTGTCCTGGTCCTGTCCTGGTCCTGTCCTGGTCCTGTCCTGGTCCTGTCCTGGTCCTGGTCCTGGTCCTGGTCCTGTCCTGATCCTGTCCTGGTCCTGTCCTGGTCCTGTCCTGGTCCTGTCCTGGTACCATCTCCACCGCCTGGTTGTAGATGAGTTTTTCCGCCGTCACGCTGTTGATTTCGTCGATGAATCTCTGTTTGTCGCAGAAGAAGTGGTGCAGTTTATCTGTGAGGCTCCGACACAGACTGATGCAGCTCTTGTACCGATCATTCAGACTCTTCACCACTAACGAAGAGGAGGAGGAGACATCAGGAACTGTACTGCTACTGCTACTACTACTACTACTACTGCTACTGCTGCTGCTTCTGCTGCCCTCAGACTCACAGCTTCACTGTTAGAGGAGTAATGAGAGAAACCCTCCCACAGACTCACCCTGCTTCACGGCGCTGGATGGGTTGAGTTTGCAGGATTTGATTTGCGCTTTGGCCAAATGTAGAGAAGACGCCAAGAGCTGAGCAGCTTTCATGTAGAGCACCAGCTGCTCCACCTGCCTGAGGACCAGAGAGAGACCAGTGAGACCAGAGACAGAGAGACCAGGGACCAGAGAGAGAGAGAGAGAGAGAGAGAGAGACCAGGGACCAGAGAGAGAGAGAGAGAGAGAGAGAGAGACCAGGGACCAGAGAGAGAGAGAGAGAGACAGAGAGACCAGGGACCAGAGAGAGAGAGAGAGACAGAGAGACCAGGGACCAGAGAGAGAGAGAGAGACAGAGAGACCAGGGACCAGAGAGAGAGAGAGACAGAGAGAGAGACAGAGAGAGACAGAGACAGAGACAGAGAGAGACCAGGTGTAGGTCTTACCCCCAGTCCTTGCTGAGCTGGCTGATCTGGTCCACCACCACAGTGTCCTGGGGGGGGTACAGTGAGGCTGCAGAGGCCCCCAGGTCTGCTCCTCCTGCTCTGACCGCGGCCATCTCCAACACACAGTCTGTGAACGACAGCATCATGCGCAGCTGCTGGAGGGTGTCTGTGTGCTCCCGCTGAGGAGACAGAGGACTGGGTTAGACCTGCTTTGGACCTGCTTCAGTCCTGCTTCAGTCCTGCTTCAGTCCCGCTTCAGTCCTGCTTCAGTCCTGCTTCAGTCCTGCTTCAGTCCTGCTTCAGTCCTGCTTCAGTCCTGCTTCAGTCCTGCTTCAGTCCTGCTTCAGTCCTGCTTCAGTCCTGCTTCAGTCCTGCTTCAGTCCTGCTTCAGTCCTGCTTCAGTCCTGCTTTAGACCTGATTTAGTCCTGCTTTAGACCTGCTCCAGTCTCTGCTTTAGCGTCACACAGTCTTTAAAGCTGGGGTACGTGACTTTCAAGCCTCACCTCCATCAGAGTCTCCTCTGGCAGCTCCGGAGCCTCGAAGGTGATGAACCCGTCCAGACTTGGGGGAGAGGTCCCATAGGCCACGTACCGGAGGCTGCTGGGACCGGCCTCTGAACCTGGGCCTGGACCAGGACCAGGACAAGAACCAGGACAAGAACCAGGACCTGACCCCCCAGGAGGAGAGGAGCCCAGGGCCATTGCAGCGGGAGGAGAGCCCACCCACACACGTCCACTGGTGGAGCACAGGGACCCGCCTGAGCTGTTTGAGCCAACTGAGGAGAGAAGAGAGACCGGTGAGACCAGAGACCAGCGCGAGACCAGAAGGGGACCAGAGAGAGACCAGACGGAGACCAGATGGAGAGCAGAGGGAGAGCAGAGGGAGAGCAGAGGGAGAGCAGAGGGAGAGCAGAGGGAGAGCAGAGGGAGAGCAGAGGGAGAGCAGAGGGAGACCAGAGGGAGACCAGAGAGAGACCAGAGAGAGACCAGAGAGAGACCAGAGAGAGACCAGAGAGAGACCAGAGAGACCAGCAGGGGTTCTGACCTGAAGTGGTGCGAGGCCTGGTCCCTGTGTGGGAGCAGGTGGGAGGGGTGTTACTCTTGGGAGGAGAACCCACAGTGAAGAGGACTGTCCTGGGACTGGATCCAGGCTGAACCAGGCCCCAGCCAGCTGGAGCTGAGGGAGAGAGAGAGAGAGAGGGGAGAGAGGTGGTAAGACATGTTATTTTATATTTTCAATGTGTATGGCATCAGCAGAATGAGGAAAAATAAGATTTAAAAGTGTAATTAATGAGGTACATGCACCATCTCAGTTCAGACCAGTTTCATGTTTAAGTCCAGTTATGTAACCCTAAAAAAACAGGTGTCTTCAATCGCATGTAGCTAGCTCTCTGCAGTGTGTTACCTGTGTCCATGGGTCTCTCTGTGTTCAGACTATCGGTGCTCCCCTGGTACGTCTGTCCTCCCACTGTGATCCTGATTGGATGATCAGAGAGACGACCAGTGCTTACAGACCTGAAATATACACAAACAAGAGAATTAGAGAGACCAGAGAGAGACCAGAGAGAGACCAGAGAGAGACCAGACAGAGACCAGAGAGAGACCAGAGAGAGACCAGAGAGAGACCAGAGAGAGATCAGAGAGAGACCAGAGAGCAGTGACGTAGGCACATTAGGGCCAGGGTGGTCCCAGGCCCGCCCACTTTTTTGATTGGCCCAGGACCTGGCCCTCCCTGAGAAGGCTTGCATGATTTTCTCACCATTTTTTATGATTAATATTTTTATTCACTCTTCAAAAAAATGCTTAACATTGACATTCAAACCAAAGCTTTGGTAAAAAATGTATTAATAAATGATAAGACGTTCACACGCCGCGCCTCCTCCTCGCCTCCACAGCAGCAGCACGTGACCCTCATCTCTCTGCTGTGATTGGCTGTCTTCCTCCTGCACTTAAAATAGTGAGGCGCCAAACTCTACATGTAGCTACCGTTTACTTTCAGTAAAGTCCGTCTGGGAGCGCGCTCTGAAAAGTGATCAGTGAAGCCGTGTAGCCAGTGTCAAGAAACGAGTTTCCCCTGAGCCTCATAATATGTGAGTAATCAGAAAATTATTATGGATCTATCTCCATTTAACAAATGTACCTATGTTCTAATCTGTCACTGCACTGCACTGAAACTCAGGCTGCACACAGACAGAGACAGAACCGACTCCATTTAAGAAACGGGGAGGTTTAAAGGCTGAAAAAATACTTCCAGTGCTCCTCCACTCTGTGTGGCAGTCAGACTTTTGTCTTCTATATTGAATATTTTTTTCTTCTGCAATGTCACTGATGGGCTGTTCCCTCTTAGATGCGTGCGCAATCGCGCTGTTCTTTCGGGGTCTTATTTTAAAGCATATGGTCTCAGCACAGAAAACTCTGTCCTGCACAAAATAAAAACAGCGTCCTGTGCCGCGTGTTTCTACAGTGTGTGGACCGCGGTGGATCTGCGCGGTCAGGCCCCATTCAAAGTCAGAGTCATAGCTCTCTTTCTGTGACGATGCGGTATGGGTTCACAGTCCGCAGGTACGGGAGAAGTGATCAACGCAGAAGTCTGAAGCTGCGTTTGACACAGAACAGGGCTAGGACCAACCTCACCCTGCACACCGTGAACCGCACATGCGAACTCGGTCTGGCCGCGGATTCGCGAGCAGTGTCTCACAAGCGCTACACCAGCTGTGTGTTGCTGGAGCTACACACACACACACGCACACACACACACGCGGGGAGACTTGAGTCTGAAGAACAGGAGTCCTGCTTATGTCTCTTTCTGTCCAAAGTGCCTCCATCACTTTGCTGTGGTTTTATTGTTAGTGATTATCTTTTCAATGATGTTAGATTCAGTTCAGCTCAAAGGCCTGGAGTAAAGTTGGTTTTGTGGCAATTTGACTATTAAGATAATAAATGTATGTGATTTGTTTTATAATGCCATATATATATATTTTTATGACTAAATAGAATAATTTATACCATTTATTAAGACGCTAAAGGTTAAATCCTGTATTGCCAAATATATTCCTAAATCTACTTTAATTCACCATCGTTTATACTTTAGGTAATTAGCGCCTATCCACTACAGTCTGTGCTGTTCACTAAAAGCTGTCAAACTGAGGAGGCACATCTGCTAGGTATTATTGGATATCATATTGATTTTTCCTCTGGCAAAAGTTGGCCCGCCCACTTTTCTCCAGGCCCGCCCTATTCAACATTTCTGTCTACGTCCCTGCCAGAGAGAGACCAGAGAGAGACAAGAGAGACTAGAGAAACTAGAGAGAGACCAGAGAGAGACAAGAGAGACAAGAGAGTCTAGAGAGAGACAAGAGAGAGACTAGAGAGAGACCAGAGAGAGACAAGAGAGACCAGAGAGAGAGACCAGAGAGAGAGACCAGAGAGAGAGAGAGAGAGCCAGAGAGAGACCAGAGAGAGACCAGAGAGAGACCAGAGAGAGACCAGAGAGAGAGACCAAAGAGAGACCAGAGAGAGACCAGAGAGAGACCAGAACCAGAGAGAGAGACCAGAGAGAGACCAGAGAGAGACCAGAGAGAGACCAGAGAGAGAGAACAGAGAGAGACAAGAGAGAGACCAGAGAGAGACCAGAGAGAGACCAGAGAGAGACCAGAGAGAGACCAGAGAGTTTCCAAATAGAGACCAGAGAGAGACCAGAGAGAGACCAGAGAGAGACCAGAAACCAGAGAGAGAGAACAGAGAGAGACACGAGAGAGACCAGAGAGAGACCAGAGAGACACGAGAGAGACCAGAGAGAGAGACCAGAGAGAGACCAGAGAGAGAGACCAGAGAGAGACCAGAGAGAGATCAGAGAGAGACCAAAGAGAGACTAGAGAGAGACCAGAGAGAGAGACCAGAGAGACCAGAGAGAGACCAGAGACCAGAGAGATAGACCAGAGAGAGATAAGAGAGAGAGATAAGAGAGAGACCAGAGAGATGCCTAATAGAGACCGGAGGGAGAGACCAGAGAGAGACCAGAGAGGGAAACCAGAGAGACCAGAGAGAGACCAGAGAGAGACCAGAGAGAGACCAGAGAGAGACCAGAGAGAGAGACCAGAGAGAGAGAACAGAGAGAGACAAGAGAGAGACCAGAGAGAGACCAGAGAGAGACCAGAAACCAGAGAGAGAGAACAGAGAGAGAGACCAGAGAGAGAGACCAGAGAGAGACCAGAGAGAGAGACCAGAGAGAGAGACCAGAGAGAGAGACCAGAGAGAGACAAGAGAGAGACAAGAGAGAGACAAGAGAGAGACAAGAGAGAGACAAGAGAGAGACGAGAGAGAGACAAGAGAGAGACCAGAGAGAGACCAGAGAGAGACCAGAGAGAGACCAGAGAGAGACCAGAGAGAGACAAGAGAGAGACAAGAGAGAGACCAGAGAGAGAGACAAGAGAGAGAGACCAGAGAGAGAGACCAGAGAGAGACAGAGAGAGAGACAAGAGAGAGACAAGAGAGAGACCAGAGAGAGACAGAAGAGACCAGAGAGAGACCAGAGACCAGAGAGACCAGAGAGAGACCAGAGAGAGACCAGAGAGAGAGACCAGAGAGAGAGACCAGAGAGAGAGACCAGAGAGAGAGACCAGAGAGACCAGAGAGACCAGAGAGAGAGACCAGAGAGAGACCAGAGAAGAGACCAGAGAGAGACCAGAGAGAGAGACCAGAGAGAGAGACCAGAGAGTGAAACCAGAGAGAAAAACCAGAGAGAGACCAGAGAGAGAAATCAGAGAGACTAGAGAGAAACCAGAGAGAGACCAGAGAGATTCCAAATAGAGACCAGAGAGAGACCAGAGAGAGAGACCAGAGGGAGAGACCAGAGAGAGACCAGAGAGATTCCAAATAGAGACCAGAGGGAGAGACCAGAGAGAGAGACCAGAGAGAGACCAGAGAGAGACCAGAGAGTTGTTTAGAGAGAGACCAGAGAGATTCCAAATAGAGACCAGAGAGAGACCAGAGAGAGAGACCAGAGAGATTCCAAATAGAGACCAGAGGGAGAGACCAGAGAGTGAAACCAGAGAGAGAAACCAGAGAGAGACCAGAGAGTTGTTTAGAGAGAGACCAGAGAGATTCCAAATAGAGACCAGAGAGAGAGACCAGAGAGATTCCAAATAGAGACCAGAGGGAGAGACCAGAGAGAGACCAGAGAGTGAAACCAGAGAGAGACCAGAGAGAGAAATCAGAGAGAGACTAGAGAGAGACCAGAGAGAGACCAGAGAGAGACCAGAGAGAGAGAACATAGAGAGACAAGAGAGAGACCAGAGAGAGAGACCAGAGACCAGAGAGAGAGACCAGAGAGAGACGAGAGACCAGAGAGAGATAAAAGAGAGACCAGAGAGAGACCAGAGAGAGAAGAGAGAGAAAAGAGAGAGAAAAGAGAGAGACCAGAGAGAGAGACCAGAGAGAGACCAGAGAGCAACTAGAGAGAGACCAGAGTTTCCAAATAGAGAACAGAGAGAGACCAGAGAGAGAGACCAGAGAGAGACCAGAGAGAGAGACCAGAGAGAGACACCAGAGAGAGACAAGAGAGAGACAAGAGAGACAAGAGAGAGACCAGAGAGAGACCAGAGAGAGACCAGAGAGAGACCAGAGAGAGACCAGAGAGAGAGACCAGAGAGAGAAACCAGAAAGAGACCAGAGAGAGAAACCAGAAAGAGACCAGAGAGAGAAACCATAAAGAGACCAGAGAGAGACCAGATAGAGACCAGAGAGAGAAACCAGAAAGAGACCAGAGAGTTTCCAAATAGAGACCAGAGAGATTCCAAATAGAGACCAGAGAGAGACCAGAGAGTGAAACCAGAGAGAAAAACCAGAGAGAGACCAGAGAGAGAAATCAGAGAGACTAGAGAGAGACCAGAGAGAGACCAGAGAGATTCCAAATAGAGACCAGAGAGAGACCAGAGAGAGAGACCAGAGAGATTCCAAATAGAGACCAGAGAGAGACCAGAGAGAGAGACCAGAGAGATTCCAAATAGAGACCAGAGGGAGAGACCAGAGGGAGAGACCAGAGGGAGAGACCAGAGGGAGAGACCAGAGAGAGAGACCAGAGGGAGAGACCAGAGAGAGACGAGAGAGAGAGACCAGAGAGATTCCAAATAGAGACCAGAGGGAGAGACCAGAGAGTGAAACCAGAGAGAGAAACCAGAGAGAGACTAGAGAGAGACCAGAGAGAGACCAGAGAGAGACCAGAGAGAGAGAACATAGAGAGACAAGAGAGAGACCAGAGAGAGAGACCAGAGACCAGAGAGAGAGACCAGAGAGAGACAAGAGAGACCAGAGAGAGATAAGAGAGAGACCAGAAAGACCAGAGAGAGAAGAGAGAGAAAAGAGAGAGACCAGAGAGAGACCAGAGAGAGAGACCAGAGAGATTCCAAATAGAGACCAGAGAGAGAAACCAGAAAGAGACCAGAGAGAGACCAGAGAGAGAAACCAGAAAGAGACCAGAGAGAGAGACCAGAGAGTTTCCAAATAGAGACCAGAGAGATTCCAAATAGAGACCAGAGGGAGAGACCAGAGAGTGAAACCAGAGAGAGACCAGAGAGTTGTTTAGAGCGAGACCAGAGAGAGACCGGAGAGATTCCAAATAGAGACCAGAGAGAGAGACCAGAGATATTCCAAATAGAGACCAGAGGGAGAGACCAGAGAGAGACCAGAGAGTGAAACCAGAGAGAGACCAGAGAGAGAAATCAGAGAGAGACTAGAGAGAGACCAGAGAGAGACCAGAGAGAGACCAGAGACCAGAGAGAGAGAACATAGAGAGACAAGAGAGAGACCAGAGACCAGAGAGAGAGACCAGAGAGAGACAAGAGAGAGATAAAAGAGAGAGCAGAGAGAGACCAGAGAGAGAAGAGAGAGAAAAGAGAGAGAAAAGAGAGAGACCAGAGAGAGACCAGAGAGCAACTAGAGAGAGACCAGAGTTTCCAAATAGAGAACAGAGAGAGACCAGAGAGAGAGACCAGAGAGAGACACCAGAGAGACACCAGAGAGAGACAAGAGAGAGACTAGAGAGAGACCAGAGAGAGACAAGAGAGAGACCAGAGAGAGACCAGAGAGAGACCAGAGAGAGAGATTCCAAATAGAGACCAGAGAGAGACCAGAGAGATTCCAAATAGAGACCAGAGAGAGACCAGAGAGTGAAACCAGAGAGAAAAACCAGAGAGAGAAATCAGAGAGAGAAATCAGAGAGACTAGAGAGAGACCAGAGAGAGACCAGAGAGATTCCAAATAGAGACCAGAGGGAGAGACCAGAGGGAGAGACCAGAGAGAGAGACCAGAGAGATTCCAAATAGAGACCAGAGGGAGAGACCAGAGAGTGAAACCAGAGAGAGACCAGAGAGAGAAATCAGAGAGAGACTAGAGAGAGACCAGAGAGAGACCAGAGAGAGACCAGAGACCAGAGAGAGAGACCAGAGAGAGACAAGAGAGACCAGAGAGAGATAAGAGAGAGACCAGAAAGACCAGAGAGAGAAGAGAGAGAAAAGAGAGAGAAAAGAGAGAGACCAGAGAGAGACCAGAGAGCGACTAGAGAGAGACCAGAGAGTTTCCAAATAGAGAACAGAGAGAGACCAGAGAGAGAGCCCAGAGAGATTCCAAATAGAGACCAGAGAGAGAGACCAGAGAGAAAAACCAGAAAGAGACCAGAGAGAGACTAGAGAGAGAGACCAGAGAGAGACTAGAGAGAGACTAGAGAGAGACCAGAGAGAGACCAGAGAGAGACCAGAGAGACCAGAGAGAGACCAGAGGCCAGAGACCAGAGGCCAGAGACCAGAGGCCAGAGACCAGAGAGTTTCCAAATAGAGAACAGAGAGAGACCAGAGAGAGAGACCAGAGAGATTCCAAATAGAGACCAGAGGGAGAGACCAGAGAGAGAAACCAGAGAGAGACCAGAGAGTTGTTTAGAGAGAGACCAGAGAGAGACCGGAGAGATTCCAAATAGAGACCAGAGAGAGACCAGAGAGAGAGACCAGAGAGATTCCAAATAGAGACCAGAGAGAGAAACCAGAAAGAGACCAGAGAGAGACCAGAGAGTGAAACCAGAGAGAGACCAGAGAGAGAAATCAGAGAGAGACTAGAGAGAGACCAGAGAGAGACCAGAGGGAGAGACCAGAGGGAGAGACCAGAGAGAGAAACCAGAGAGAGACCAGAGAGAGAAATCAGAGAGAGACTAGAGAGAGACCAGAGAGAGACCAGAGAGAGACCAGAGACCAGAGAGAGAGAACATAGAGAGACAAGAGAGAGACCAGAGACCAGAGAGAGAGACCAGAGAGAGACAAGAGAGACCAGAGAGAGATAAAAGAGAGAGCAGAGAGAGACCAGAGAGAGAAGAGAGAGAAAAGAGAGAGAAAAGAGAGAGACCAGAGAGAGACCAGAGAGCAACTAGAGAGAGACCAGAGTTTCCAAATAGAGAACAGAGAGAGACCAGAGAGAGAGACCAGAGAGACACCAGAGAGAGACAAGAGAGAGACAAGAGAGACAAGAGAGAGACAAGAGAGAGACCAGAGAGAGACCAGAGAGAGACCAGAGAGAGACCAGAGAGAGAGACCAGAGAGAGAAACCAGAAAGAGACCAGAGAGAGACCAGAGAGAGAAACCAGAAAGAGACCAGAGAGAGACCAGAGAGAGAAACCAGAAAGAGACCAGAGAGTTTCCAAATAGAGACCAGAGAGATTCCAAATAGAGACCAGAGAGAGACCAGAGAGTGAAACCAGAGAGAAAAACCAGAGAGAGAAATCAGAGAGAGAAATCAGAGAGACTAGAGAGAGACCAGAGAGAGACCAGAGAGGTTCCAAATAGAGACCAGAGAGAGACCAGAGAGATTCCAAATAGAGACCAGAGGGAGAGACCAGAGAGAGACCAGAGAGAGAGACCAGAGAGATTCCAAATAGAGACCAGAGGGAGAGACCAGAGAGTGAAACCAGAGAGAGACCAGAGAGAGAATTCAGAGAGAGACTAGAGAGAGACCAGAGAGAGACCAGAGAGAGACCAGAGACCAGAGAGAGAGAACATAGAGAGACAAGAGAGAGACCAGAGAGAGAGACCAGAGAGAGACCAGAGAGAGACCAGAGAGAGACCAGAGACCAGAGAGAGAGACCAGAGAGAGACAAGAGAGACCAGAGAGAGATAAGAGAGAGACCAGAAAGACCAGAGAGAGAAGAGAGAGAAAAGAGAGAGAAAAGAGAGAGACCAGAGAGAGACCAGAGAGCGACTAGAGAGAGACTAGAGAGAGACCAGAGAGAGACCAGAGAGAGACCAGAGAGAGACCAGAGGCCAGAGACCAGAGGCCAGAGACCAGAGGCCAGAGACCAGAGAGTTTCCAAATAGAGAACAGAGAGAGACCAGAGAGAGAGACCAGAGAGAGAGACCAGAGAGAGAGCCCAGAGAGATTCCAAATAGAGACCAGAGAGAGAGACCAGAGAGAGAAACCAGAAAGAGACCAGAGAGAGACTAGAGAGAGAGACCAGAGAGAGACTAGAGAGAGACCAGAGAGAGACCAGAGAGAGACCAGAGGGAAAGACCAGAGAGAGACCAAAGAGAGACCTAAGAGAGAGACCAGAGAGAGAAAGACAAGAAAAAAAGACCAAATAGAGAGAGAAATATCTGAGATCTCATCGGAGCTGGGTTATATAAAGGTAGTTATAAAAGTGTGTCTGACCTGCCAAAGGTGCGGCTGCCCTCCGGAGCGCTGGGCCTGTAGGGGGCGCAGTGGTGCACACACATGTCTCTGGTCTCAGCCACGGTCTTAGTGGGACCAGGACCATCAGCCAGAGCCAGCAGGTTACAGGACGCCTGGGTCTTAGGGATCTTAAAAGGAGCAGAGATCGTCTGCACATAAAACATATAAGAAGATTAAAGACTAGTGAGCAGAGAGAGACCAGAGAGAGAGACACTAGACAGAGCCGAGGGGAGACAGGCCAGAGGGAGAGAGTAGAGAGAGAGAGACCAAAGAGAAATACCAGAGAAATACCACAGAGAGAGACCAGAGAGACCAGTGACGGACCAGAGAGACCAGAGAGAGACCAGGGAGAGACCAGGGAGAGAGCAGAGAGAAAGACCAGAGAGAGAGACCAGAGAGAGAGACCAGAGAGAGAGACCAGAGAGAGAGACCAGAGAGAAAGACCAGAGAGAAAGACCAGAGAGAAAGACCAGAGAGAAAGAACAGAGAGAAAAACCAGATAGAGACACCAGAGAGATACACCAGAGAGAGACACCAGAGAGAGAGACCAGAGAGAGAGACCAGAGAGAGAGACCAGAGAGAGAGACACTAGACAGAGCAGAGGGGAGACAGGCCAGAGGGAGAGAGTAGAGAGAGATACCAAAGAGAAATACCAGAGAAAGACCACAGAGAGAGACCATAGAGACCAGTGACGGACCAGAGAGACCAGAGAGAGAGACCAGAGAGACCAGAGAGAGAGACCAGAGAGAGAGACCAGAGAGAGAGACCAGAGAGAGAGAGCAGAGAGAGAGAGCAGAGAGAGAGAGCAGAGAGAGAGAGCAGAGAGAAAGACCAGAGAGAAAGACCAGAGAGAAAGACCAGAGAGAAAAACTAGAGAGAGAGACCAGAGAGAGACCAGAGAGAGACCAGCCCTCAGCCCAGAGAGTCAACAGTCACAGTCACACAGGGCTATTCCTACATAATCATACCATGTGTGGGTTATGGGGGGACATGGTGTGGGTCGTGTCGTACCTTGGTGGGGGAGCCGATGATGGTGGGGAGGGGGCTCTTCCAGTCGGAGGTGCGGGGGGAGGAGCCCAGTAGCTTGGTGGGGGAGGAGCCCAGGAGCTTGGTGGGGGAGGAGCCGAGGTTCACAGGACGTCCCATCTGAGGAGAGGAGGGCTGCAGGGGGTCGGACAGCTGCTTGTGGAGCTTCTGTCTGGTCTGGTACATGTCTGACAGAGAGGGGGCGCTCTGGAGCCGAGTCCCCAGCAGCTGAGAGGAGGGAGAGCCTGAGGAGAGAGACACAGAGTGGACGTTTAAAGTCGGGGGACCTGACTTTCAGACTGCAACAATAAAACTAAAAAGATCTAATACAATACATGTCGCTAGTTCCTGGTTATATAACAGTTTTCTTCTGGCCTCTCTCTCTCCATCTTTCTAGTCTCTCTCTCTCTCTGTCTCTGGTCTCTCTCTCTATAATTATATCATTAAAGTGAGACCAACCTCCAGACGAGCTGCGGCTACGAGACTCGTGGCTCTGGAGGTGACAGGTGCAGTGTCCGAGCTGCTCCGGGATTGTGCCCACTGCAAATACACACACTGTCAATATACACACACGCACAAACACTGCAAATATACACACACACATACAAGCCTGTAGCATCAATACATGCACTGGGACGAATTGAGCAGAGAGTGAAGAGGACTTTCTCCTCTCTCCCTCCCCCCTCTTCATACTCGCTGTACTACCTCTCTTCTCTCCCCCCCTCTCCTTCTCTCCAATGATTCAAAGGAGCAAATATAACTAATTCCCCACAGACACCAGCAGGTGGAGGCAGAGGGCCAGTTTTGACCCTGTTTTCTACCAGACAGTAAAAACTGTCCTCAGCTCCATCCACCAGTCAAGCCCCGGCGATCCAAGATGGCGCCCTATTCAAATGAATGGTTTGTGCTCAGTAGTGCATGGGACTTCATGGAGACCGGGAGATTAGCTGAACTCGCCTATATTTGGGCATCGTCTGGTCCTCCCGGTTCTGCGCAGTGGATACGCACTAATCGCACTAATCGCGCCAAACGTACGTGTGTCGCTTTAATGCACGCGCACAGAGGGGCTCGGCCGCGCTCTGACCAATCAGATGATCAGCTCTGATGATCAGAGCTGATCATCAGAGCAGCGGAAGAGTGGAGCCAGAGCGGGAAGGCAGGGAGCAGAGTTTGTGGCAGTAAAGTGTGGATTTAAAGAAAACCGAAGGATTTAAGAAGAAAGAGTTCAGGATGACAAGGGACACTAAAATCCCCACAAAATCCGATCATTATGAAAGCTGTAGGCTCTCTGTCATTGAGTTCTATGGCACTTTTTTCTGGGTAGCCCACGTGAATTTAGTCTGCAGTGGGCGCCCCCTGTGTCCATGGGTGGGATAGCTATAAGACAAGAGATAGCTGTCTTATAGCTGGAGTTTCATCCAGTTATTATTATAGATCCATGGCACCAGTTCATCAGAGTCTCTTAGTAGTAGTAGTAGTAGTAGTAGTAGTAGTAGTAGTAGTAGTAGTTCTACCAGGTGGATTGTGGGTACTGTAGTCTTACCTAAAGGGGAGGGGGAGTATGGGCGGGAGCTGCCGATGGACAGACGTCTGCCCACAGTGGGAGCGATGTCCGCTGAGCTCGGGGACCCGGACACCATCTTGGGAAACCCCATAGGACTGGTGTTAGAGCGCCGCACGGTGCCAGACCTGGGAATTACAACCACAGAAAATATTATCAACACATCTAGACATTTTTTAGGATTATAGATCCACTCTGGTCTCTCTCTCTCCACTCTGGTCTCTCTCTCTCCACTCTGGTCTCTCCTCTGTACAGTAGAGGATCCTCAGCTGCTGACTCATTGCAGAGTCATTATAATTCAAATTAAATATAAAACCATGAGTCAGTGTTGTTTATATCACTTCACAGATGAATCAGTCGACACACATGGTTTTAAGGACAAACATTACTGATATTGAGGACATTAGGAAAAAAAAACGTTTTGTACAAAATTTGCTGAATAAGCTCAGGAACATTATATATTGAGACAGGGCCGGAGTGGGACAACATTTCAGGCCGGGAGCTTTTCATCCATTCAGGCCAAACAAGGTTCTAAATTTGGGTTTTTGTCATTGTATTTTGATGTTCTTTTAATAGTTTTAAGATTGACTGTCAAAACTTTTGTTTTCTTTATTTTTTTTTTATATTGACTGTTTATATAATCTCGGACGTTTAAGGATTGTTGTACGTTGCTTAGCAACGTAACGTTTATGGAGTTTAGTGAGAATAAAGACACACACACACACAATGAACTAAGTGTTCATTAGTGTATAACTATAACAAGCTAATCAATTATTGTTAAAAAAGTAGTAAGGTAAAATCACATCGTTACAGCTCATATAAAAGGAAAAATAAAAACGTGTATGAACCATCAGTTGGAGAGACCACTCATTTCAACCGGGGAAGCTACACTGGGTGCACTGCTAGGCTGGCCTGGCTGTGTAGCCGACGTGTGACGTCACATTTGTTTAATTTTGCTCTGGCCCAATGACAGTAAAGCTTTGGCCAGTGTTGTGCCAGTTCACAGCTTTTCTGAACTAGTTCAAGTTCAGTTCATACATGCTCAAAGTGAACAGTTCACGTTCGAAGTTCTCAATTTTAATTCTGAACTAGTTCAAATTTCAGTTCATTTTACTTTTTGCGAGATATTCAAATAAATATTTTTTTTCACTACGAGCTAGAAATCACAATACGTGATATATAATATATATATATATATATATATATATATATATATATATATATATATATATATATATATATATATATATTATATCCTGTACACTGCACAGGATGTTTTGACTCCAATGCAGACAAGATTTACATGGGTTTCAATGGGAACTGAGTTGTCCCATCTCTGCTCATAAGTACAAACTGTAATGCGCTGCAGAACGTGTGTCTATACTTTATGTCAAATGTAAACGGCCCTGTGTCACTGACTTACCCCTGTGTTTTCATCACGGCACATGTGAGTCCAACAACCAATGAATAGCACTAGCATATAGCGCCGCACCGCAAGTACACTGAGTCGGGGTGCGTTCACAGACGGTGGAAACCGTAGGAATTTTTAGTTTTCGGCGGAAACAGTGCGGAGAATACAGGAGGGAGGAACTTTCTCTCGTTGCGTTTCAAAAGAGAAAACAGATTTCACTCAGTTTTAAATGGAAAACAAATTGTCTGCCGTTCATGACACATAATATGAACTAATTCACGTTCAAGTTCTTTATTAAAAAATGTGTTGCGTTCAGTTCAACGTTCACGAAAAAATGAGCGTGTTCAATGAACGCGTTCTTTTGAACTCGTTCACGCACAACACTGGCTTTGGCCTGGGCCTTGCTCATTGGACCAGGCCACCAGGCAGGGTAGGAGTTTGCAAAGGCCGTGAGGATGAAATTAAATTAAAAGAAAAAAAAAAAAAAAAAAGACCGTGATGATAGGGCAGGCCCAGGCCACTTTGACACGCAGGCCACCGGGAGATCTCCCGATGCTCCCGATGGCCAGTCCGGGCCAGTATTGAGATGTCTGTCCTTATTTTTAAATGTGGATTGTGACTGGAGAGACCAGAGAGAGACGAGCGAAAGACCAGAGAGAGACCAGAGAGAGACCAGAGTGAAACCAGAGTGAGACGAGCGAGAGACCAGAGAGAGACGAGCGAGAGACGAGCGAGAGACCAGAGAGAGACCAGAGAGAGACCAGAGAGAGACCAGAGAGAGACCAGAGAGAGACCAGAGAGAGACCAGAGAGAGACCAGAGAGAGACCAGAGAGAGAACAGAGAGAGACCAGAGAGAGACCAGAGAGAGACCAGAAAGAGACCAGAGAGAGAACAGAGAGACCAGAGAGAGACCAGAGAGAGAACAGAGAGAGACCAGAGAGAGACCAGAGAGAGACCAGAGAGAGAACAGAGAGAGACCAGAGAGAGACCAGAGAGAGACCAGAAAGAGACCAGAGAGAGAACAGAGAGACCAGAGAGAGACCAGAGAGAGACCAGAGAGAGACCAGAGAGAGACCAGAGAGAGACCAGAGAGAGACCAGAGAGAGACCAGAGAGAGACCAGAGAGAGACCAGAGAGAGACCAGAGAGAGAGAGACCAGAGAGAGACCAGAGAGAGACCAGAGAGAGAGAGACCAGAGAGAGAGAGACCAGAGAGACCGATCAGAGATCAGAGAGACTTCTGAGATTATGAGACTAAAATTCAAGTTCTGATGCAACTTGGTGAAATGAAAGGTGAATGACGAAAGAGCAGCAGACGTTACAGAGTCAGACCTGAGTCACAGCCGAGTGTGGACTGTTGTTATTAACTATATTTAGAAAACACAAACCACTGATATGATGAAGAGGCATTTAAGGTGTGAGGTCACTGCTGTTATCTACCAGAGACAGATACAATGCCAGCAGTAGACCAGAGAGACCACACAACAGAGAGACCAGAGAGAGAGAGACCCTCAGCACAGATGGGAGAGGTGTGTGTGTGTGTTTTACCTGAGCGATCCGTACAGTGTGGTGTGTGTGCATCTCTCTCTGTGCGTGTGATCCGTACAGTGTGTGTGTGCGCGTGTGTGTGTGCGTGCGTCTGTCTGTTTGTCTGTGTGTATGTATGCACACAGTGTGGTGTGTGTGCGTCTCTCTCTGTGTGCGTGTATTTACCTGTGTGATCCGTACTGTGTGTATGTGTGTGTGTGCGTGCCTGTGTGTGCGTGTGTGTGTGTGTGTGTGTGCGTGTGTGTGTGTGCGTGTATTTACCTGTGTGATCCGTACTGTGTGTATGTGTGTGTGTGCGTGTGTATGTGTGTGTGTGCGTGTGCGTGTGCCTGTGTGTGTGTGTGGGTGTGTGTTTGTGTGCGTGTGTGTGTGTGCGTGTATTTACCTGTGTGATCCGTACTGTGTGTGTGTGCCTGTGCGTCGGTCTGTCTGTGTGTGTGTTTGTTTACCTGGGCGATCCGTACAGTGTGGTGTGGGTGGTGGTGGTGGGACTTCCCGACAGGTTCTGTTTGATCCTCTGATAGTTCCGAACCTGAGTCGGGACCGGGATGGGAGCGGTCTCTGCCCGAGGGGAGACCATGGGGGTCTGACCAGGAGTGGGCTGCTGGGTCCTGAGGAGAGAGAGAGAGAGAGAGAGAGGATCAGAGGAGGACCATGAGGATCAGAGAGACCAGAGAGAGAGAAAGAGAGAGGATCAGAGAGAGAGACAAACACCAAAGAGAGAGAGCTGACTCATACAGGTTCCGTGAGGAAACCAAAGAATCAATCAGAAGCAGCGCTGATCTGTTCCCACTTAGCTGAAGTCAAATTTGAGGACGGAGAAGGCTCCTGATTGGTCAGTTGTCAGGGCTCATATCTGGTTTATCACAATACAAACTACTACTACTAATCTTCCTGAAAAAGTGAGACAGGATCTTTCTTTTGCTGTAACAACTTAAGTATTTTATCATCACTCTTTTTAATGAACGGAATATTTATGATTTCAAAGCCTTGTGTGACCATCTTGTTTCCTTTAGCACTTTGACTTGCCTTGTGTATGAACTGTGCTATACAAAATAAACTTGCCTTGTGCTAGTAACTACTGCTGCTGTTCCAAAGATGCAGTACAATCAACATTTGGTTTGAGTCTGTACCTCAGAGTTAAGTCCTTTGTTGATGTGTCCAACAACAGCAGCAGCAACAACAACAAAACGATGTATTTCTCTAAAAATCTAGAGATCGATGCTTTTCCAATCCTCCAAAAGTGATTTAAAGTGATATAAAGTGATCAAACGCAGGTCTGTATGTTGTAGATTCTGTTCTGTTTTGTTCTTTTCTCTGCCGCCGAGTTCACCGTGTTCTTTAGGGACTCTCCGCATGTTCAGGGAGGGACGAGAAAAAAAAGTAAACACTGAGTTTCAGCCAATCATATGGACAGGGAAGGGGAAGGGGCGGGGCTAGAGGCGGGGCTTGGCTGAGAGCATGTGAGACTGAAGAGTGAGAGCTGTAATTATGGAAGAAATGGTGTTTGAGCTGGGAGAGGAGAGAGGGGAGATAGGGGAGAGAAAGAAGAGGAGAAGGGAGAGAGGAGAGAAAGGTGAGAGAGGGGAGAGAAAGAAGAGAAGGTAGAGAGGAGAGGAGAGAGAGGATATGGGAGAGAGAATAAGAGGAGAGAGGAAAGAGGAGAGAGAGGAGAAGGGAGACGAGAAGACAAGGGAGAGAGGAGGAGAGAGAGAGGAGAGGAGAGCTTAAGGTGGTTAGACAAAGGTAAATTAAATAAATAATAAAAGAGCGAGGAGAAGAGGGGGAGACAGAGGAGCAGTTGATATCAGAAGGGGGAGAGTGAGGAGGAGGGGGAGAGAGAGGAGGGGGAGAGAGGGGAGGGGGGAGAGACACAGGAGCAGTTGATATCCGAGGGTGAGTGTCTGTGGATGTAAATACAGCATGAGCCAATAGGAAGCAGCATGTGTGCGACAGCTGCACAAAAGGACAGAGACGGCTTGTGTTTCAGGGGATTCTGCTCACACTGTTCCTCAGGATCCGCACAGACCTGATCCAGACCGAGGCCACGGAACCAACACAAACTACACAAACAACTAAAACCACAACAGAAGCAACAACACAAACGGAAGCAACAGAAACACCATGATAGCTTTGAGGCTAAAGGTCTGGTCTTAGAAGCAGTGCTGCGTTGTATTAGACACCAACAAAGGGGTAATTTCACTTAGCTCCAATCACAATGAGAGGATCCATGGACAAGAGACAAGAGAGGAGAGAGAGAGAGGAGAAAGAGAGGAGAAAGAGAGGAGAGAGAGAGGAGAGAGAGAGGAGAAATTTTGATTTTTAACAGATCTTTATTTGTCCATTAAACAGGTCAAATAACATCACATGTTACACATTGTAATGTATAGAAAAAAAGACACAGTTTAAAAATCCGGACATAAAAGTGCAAAAAGTGCAAATACTGGCCATAAATAAACAATGCAACACCTCACACACACTTCAATTCATAAGTTTTCAAAGGCAGAAAAAAACAGCTCCCCGTCCCTCACAGAGCACACCTCCCTGAACCCCCAGCGCTCCTCAAACCCCTCCTGATCCCCATTTATCCTGTAGAGACCGAACTCTAGCCTGAGTCTGGCCTGGACCATCCGGACCAGCAGAGCCCAGGGATTGACCTCGCCCTGGTCCTGGACCATCCTCCTCCTGCTCACAAAGACGGCCATCTTGGCCTGACCGACGAGGAAACTGAGAAGCCGCCCCCTCCTCCTGCTGCGGCTGGAGTACCTGACCCACCCCACAAACACCTGGGCATTAAACTCTGCCCCCAGTGAAGTGAAGAGGCCCCTCAGCAGCTCCAGAATGTGCCTGAGCCTCCCACACTCCCAGAAGCACTGTCTCCCTCTTCCCACAGAAGGGACAGCCCTGTTGGGCATTGACTGCTATTGCCCCATGCAGCAGCCTTCACTGCAGGTCCCCCTGTCTCTTGGTCAGAGGGGGCTTGTACAGGGCCCCCCAGGCCGGGCTGAAGTTGGGGCCCAGGTGTGACCTCCACACAGTGTCTACTCGGTCACACAGTCTCTGGTGGTTCAAGGCCTGGACCATGAGGATGTATAAGGTCTTCCCTGAAGACCTTATACAGCGACTGGACTGGCCAGCAGGGGCCCAGAAGAGGAGCCCAGGTCCGGGCTGAGGATGAGGCTGGGGAAGGGGTCAGTGGGTCAGGGGTCAGTGAGCCTGACCTGTGTCCCTCTAACAGGGTCCAGTCCTCCTTTGTCGGACCCTCTCTCCAGAAACACAGCAAACGCTCCAGGGTCCGAGCCTGCCTCTGGCCCAGGTGGGCTCCCAGGGCTTCCCAGTCCTCCAGCTGAGGACCACTGATATCTCGGAGCTGCTGCACCGAGACTACCCCCCCCGCACTGAAACGGCCCCGCAGCACAGGCCCCGCCCAGGCAGGAAACTCCAGGGGCCGCTGTAGGAGCCAGTGCAGAGAGGAGCTCTGCCTCTGCCTCTTCACTCTGCTCCACACCGAGAACACCAGGTTGTTGGCAACGAGGACCCTCCCTCTGTACGACATTTTAGGCAACAGCCACCTCCATTTACTCAACCGCCCTTTAACTTGCTCCAGAGACTGATCCCAGTTCCCCCGGACAAGACCAGGGCCAACGAACACCCCCAGGTGTTTAAAACCCCCTGTCCTCCACACCAGTCCCCCAGGCAGGTTGAGACCCCTCAGGCCCTCCCCGAGCAGAGTGGCCAAGCTCTTGCTCCAGTTCACCCTGGAGCTGGAGACCTGACCAAAGACCTGCACCGTGTCAGCTAGGACCTCCACATCCCTCTGGCTGTTTACGAACACTATGATGTCATCTGCGTACGCAGAGACTTTCAAAGGTCGTGTTCCAGGCAGCACTCTGAGGCGATGCAGAAGGGGCTCGATGGAGAGGGAGTAGAGCATCCCAGACAGAGAGCAGCCCTGCCTGATGCCCCTCCCCACACTGAACGGAGCACTGAGCCCCCCATTCACCTTCAGTACACTCATGACGTCACAATACAGAGTCCGGATGTGGGCGATGAACCCAGGGCTGAACCCAAAGGCAGTCATGGTCTGCCAGAGGAACTGGTGTTCAACCCGGTCAAACGCCTTTTCCTGGTCTATGGAAATCAGTCCCAGGTTGATTCCCAATGAGCCGGAGATCTCCAAAACATCTCTGATCAGGGCGATGTTATACCCTATGAGCCAGCTGGGCACACAGTGCGTCTGGTCCACGTGGATGACCGAGGCCATGACCGAGAGAGGAGAGAGAGGAGACAAGAAGAGAGACAAGAGAGGAGAGACAAGAGAGGCGAGAGAAAAGAGGAGACAAGAGAGGAGAGACAAGACAAGAGAGGAGAGAGGAGAGACAAGAGAGGCGAGAGAAAAGAGGAGACAAGAGAGGAGAGAGGGGAGAGATGAGAGGAGAGGAGAGGAGAGGAGACAGAGGAAAGAGAGACGACTATTCACCAAAATATGCTTTATACTCATTTCCTATTACTCCAATCCCAGTGTGTCTTCAGGAGTCTCAATACTGACTCAGAACTATCACTACTCTATGTTTCTAAATATAAAGCAGGAAGTGTGTGTGGGTCACAAATGGTTAAAGGGAGGAGGGGGCGGGGCTAAAGCTAAGCTGTGACGTCCAATGGCACGTGTCCCTCAGACTGAAGAGAAGTGTGTCGTCTGCACGGCTTTGTTGTGAGAGGAGACACGGTGTTCTTTTCACGTTATGAGGGTGAGAGGGGGAGTAGAGAGGGGGCAGGGAGAGAGGAGGGGAGGGTAGAGGGGGAGGAGAGAGAAGAGGGGATAGAGGAAAGAAGGGGAGAAAAGAGGTTGCAGGGGGGAGAGAGAGGAGGAGAGAGAGAGACCAGAGAGAGAGAGAGAGAGCACATACAGAGAGAGAGACCAGAGAGAGAGAGCACAGAGAATGAGACCAGAGAGAGACTAGAGAGAGACCAGAGAGAGAGACCAGAGAGAGAGGACAGAGAGAGAGCACAGAAAGAAAGCAAAGCGAGAGACCAGAAAGAGAGGACAGAGAGATCAGAGAGAGAGCACAGAAAAAAAGCAAAGCGAGAGACCAGAGAGAGAGAGCACAGAGAAAGAGACCAGACAAAACATAACATGTTTTCTAATCAGATTGTGTGATGCGTCTGATTTGTTCATAACATTTTAGTTCAAGACTCTTTCTGTTCAAACATGTTTTAATTGTTAGGATGAAAATAGATGGATGCAATATTTATTTGAATAGCGCAGTCCTCTCGGTCCTGGTTGGTTTGTAGGTCAGGGATGTAAAAGCCTTGTAAATGTGAAGCGTCACTTTGAGTCTGAAGTGGCAGCGTTTGACCTGGTTTGGATAGAGACTGAGGTGGAAGAGAGATAGAGAGACAATTTATTTCTTTGTAGATACAATACAAAGAGGAGAGAGAGAAAGAAAGAGAGAGAGAGAAAATGGCGAGAGAGAGAGGAGACAGAGAGAGGAGACAGAGAGAGGAGACAGAGAGAGGAGACGGAGAGAGAGGAGTAAGTTTGACCTGGTTTGGAGAGAGACTGTGGGGGTGGGCCCTGTTCTTTAAACTTAAAAGACTTGGCCTAGATCTGAGCTCTCTCCATCAGACCAGAAGTTTCACTGCAAACTTACCAACACACGGATATACAGTGCCTTGCGAAAGTATTCGGCCCCCTTGAACCTTTCAACATTTTGCCACATTTCAGGCTTCAAATATAAAGATATAAAACATTTTTTTGTCAAGAATCAACAACAAGTGGGACACAATCGTGAAGTGGAACAAAATTTATTGGATAATTTAAAGGCACACCGCGGACTTTGTGACCTAAAGAGTTGACATATATGAGTTATTTTATATGAATACTTGGGCCAATATACAGCGCTTGACACTTGCAATGCTCCGAGCGGGGCTGCCCTCTTGAAATACCGCCCATGTAAGTTTCGAGCAGACGGACCGTCTGCCACCAGGTCACGTGACTTGGAAGAAAGACTTGCTTTACGGCTACAGGCGCTGATATACTCATGGAGCTAAGGCTTTTGCTACTCATTTTTCACCTGCTCGACTCCTGGTCATGGCTGAGGCAAGGAAAAATTTTAAACCTTCGGAGGAGGCTAAAAAGAGGAAACGCGAAAGGGATCGTGCTGTAAGCTGCATGTCTGTATGAGCGCTGCTCTTCACCTGGTTCCTGGATGTCATCGACTGCAAAGATGTCATTCCACGCAGCACGAGCTAGACGCAGAACTCCCTCATCCAGGATATAGAAGTCCATGTGTGGTAGATTACTAATGCAGCGGTCTGGAGGCTGACCACAGCAGAGTCTCTCAATATCTGTAGGCATGTCTCTACAGTTTGAACACACACACCAGTGCATGCTGTCTGAATACACACTCAAAAGACACCGGCTGACTGTTTGTTGACTTTTGCGACAGTGCTGAGTTGCTTGTGGCCACTAGGGGCGCTAAACGTGAAAGTTGCAGGTCTAGCGCCCCTAGTGGCCAAGAGTTACACGGTGTGCCTTTAAACTTTTTTAACAAATAAAAAACTGAAAAGTGGGGCGTGCAATATTATTCGGCCCCCTTGCGCTAATACTTTGTAGCGCCACCTTTTGCTGCAATTACAGCTGCAAGTCGCTTGGGGTATGTCTCTATCAGTTTTGCACATCGAGAGACTGGAATTCTTTCCCATTCTTCCTTGCAAAACAGCTCGAGCTCAGTGAGGTTGGATGGACAGCAGTGTTCAGCTCTTTCCACAGATTCTCGATTGGATTCAGGTCTGGACTTTGACTTGGCCATTCTAACACCTGGATACGTCTATTTGTGAACCATTCCTTTGTAGATTTGGCTTTCTGTTTTGGATCATTGTCCTGTTGGAAGATAAATCTCCGTCCCAGTCTCAGGTCTTTTGCAGACTCCAACAGGTTTTCTTCCAGAATGGTCCTGTATTTGGCTCCAAGATTCCCTGTCCCTGCTGAAGAAAAGCAGGCCCAAACCATGATGCTGCCACCACCATGTTTGACAGTGGGGATGGTGTGTTCAGGGTGATGAGCTGTGTTGCTTTTACGCCAAACATATCGTTTTGCATTGTGGCCAAAAAGTTCGATTTTGGTTTCATCTGACCAGAGAACCTTCTTCCACATGTTTGGTGTGTCTCCCAGGTGGCTTGTGGCAAACTTTAAACGAGACTTTTTATGGATATCTTTGAGAAATGGCTTTCTTCTTGCCACTCTTCCATAAAGGCCAGATTTGTGCAGTGCACGACTGATTGTTGTCCTATGGACAGACTCTCCCACCTCAGCTGTAGTTATCTGCAGTTCATCCAGAGTGATCATGGGCCTCTTGGCTGCATCTTTGATCAGTCTTCTCCTTGTTTGAGATGAAAGTTTGGAGGGACGGCCGGGTCTTGGTAGATTTGCAGTGGTCTGATACTCCTTCCATTTCAATATAATTGCTTGCACAGTGCTCCTTGAGATGTTTAAAGCTTGGGAAATCTTTTTGTGTCCAAATCCAGCTTTAAACTTCTCCACAACAGTATCTCGGACCTGCCTAGTGTGTTCCTTTGTCTTCATGGTTCTCTCTGCGCTTTAAACAGAACCCTGAGACTATCAAAGAGCAGGTGCATTTATACGGAGACTTGATTACACACAGGTGCATTCTATTTATCATCATCAGTCATTTAGGACAACATTGGATCATTCAAAGATCCTCACTGAACTTCTGGAGTGAGTTTGCTGCACTGAAAGTAAAGGGGCCGAATAATATTGCACGCCGCACTTTTCAGTTTTTTATTTGTTAAAAAAGTTTAAATTATCCAATACATTTCGTTCCACTTCACGATTGTGTCCCACTTGTTGTTGATTCATTTGTTTGAAGCCTGAAATGTGGCGAAATGTTGAAAGGTTCAAGGGGGCCGAATAATTTCGCAAGGCACTGTATATGATGTGTGGAATCCCCAGTCTATCAAATACAACTCTGTATGGAGCAAGATCACTGAAACACTGCTCAGGACACAATGGAGAAAAAGGAGAGAGAGGAGAAAGAGAGAGCAGCTTGATGCAGTAAACTCAGACAACGTCTACATTTCTAACTAGAATATTAGCATTAGCGAGTAAAGAAACAAAACTAGTCATTTGCTGAATCAAATAATGTGTGACCATGGACCAAAGCTGAGGACATGTGAGTTTGTGTGCGTGCGTGCGTGCGTGTGTGTCTGTGGTCAGAACTGCAGACGTGAAAAGAAGTGGTCAGATCTGATTTAGCCTCTGTGTCACACTGCTGCTTTGGCTCGACGTTTGTACCACAACAATATGTGTGTGTGTGTGTGTGTGTGTGTGTGTGTGTGTGTGTGTGTGTGTGTGTGTGTGTGTGTGTGTGTGTGTGTGTGTGTGTGTGTGAGTGTTTGTGTGTGTACAGTGTTTGGGAGGAGGCTGAGAGCAGAAGACACAGCAGTGAGTTACAACAACATTATCCCATGATCTCGGTCTGAGGTCTGGAACCTGTGTCTCAGACTGAGCCGAGTCTACATTTATAGTTTTAAACAAAACATTACATTCTGAGACTAATATGACACAATGTGTCATGTTAAAAATCACACATATTCAAAACAATGTGAATGTTTCGCAAATAAACACATTTTAAAGTATGAGACCGTTTTGGTTCAGGATCTCTGCTCTTAAAGACACTGGAGCAGAAACCTCTCTGATCCCACAGACAGCAACTACTGGAGCTTGTCGTGGTCCTCTCTGGTCTCTCTCTCACTCTCTGGTCCCTCTCTCTCACTCTGGTCCCTATCTCTCACTCTGGTCCCTCTCTCTCACTCTGGTCCCTCTCTCTCACTCTGGTCCCTCTCTCTCACTCTGGTCCCTCTCTCTCACTCTGGTCCCTCTCTCTCACTCTGGTCCCTCTCTCTCACTCTGGTCCCTCTCCAGCTTCTAGTGACAAACACTGTTCAGAGCGACACATATAGATAGAACCACATGTTGGGACTCACCCTCCGCACATCAGGAACTCACTGGAGGCTCGTCGTGGTCCCATCTGGTCGTCTGTTAAATACACAGGTGTCAGGGCAAAACACACTAAAACCAAGGTCTACAGAAACCATTTTGTCAGCAGGAACCCCCTCACCTTCTCCACCTCCACCTCCACCTCCTCTCTCTATTCCTCCAAACCCTAATTTTGTCTCCTCCTCTCTCTCCTACCCCCCTCTCCTTCCCCTCATCCCCCTCTCCTCCTCCTCTCTCTCCTCCTCCTCTTTCTTACAGCTGTCTGCAGAGATGTGTGGGAGGAGCACAAAGTCGTCTGTGTCGCAGGAGGAGTTCTTGCTGCTGGTGCTCCCCGCCGACTCCTTCGACAACTGCAGGAAGTTGGGAGGTCCCATCGGGGGAGACGAGAGCTCTTCCGCCAGGGTCTGCATGTCTGGGAGAGACTGGGGGAGTGAGGGAGGAGAGGAGGAGAGAGAGGTAGGAGAGATTCAAATACACATCACAATTCATCACCATGTCTTATGGTGCTTTCAGACCGCCAACGCTGAAACGCTGAAGCCCCGCTCACCAGACGCACATTCTCTAGTTTTCAGACGCAGAGGACTTCACACCAGAACGTCCTGACGCGAGCCGGAAGTACCGGAAGTAGCCGGCCGGCTCTAATGCTAACAGAGCTATGCTAGCGGCTTCTTGTGTACAGATCTTCTCCAATATTCAGCTTTGCAGCGTGTCTTTGCTCACAGACATTCCACAGGCTTTATATAACAGTAGTATGTGTTCACGGAGGTGCGCCATACGTTTATTCATATTATTAAATGGAATTTCCGCATTGGAGAACACACTCGAAGCAGTTGCATAAGGTCACGGGAGCATGACAACGCATATTTTCACAAGCACACAGTCTCCCATCGTCAACCCTGGAGTTCTGGAGTTCTGGTGAAGTCTGGTGTGGGTCCTGTTTTGGCTGTTTACAGTATGTTCAGTCTGCTCGCTCAGTCCGCTAATGTCCCCGTGACCACTTTGCTGCTCTCTGATTGGTTGTCGCACGAACGTCCCAAGGAAAGGATGAGCAGAATCCATCTCCTGTGGGCGTTGATTTTTCGCTCCTGCTCCTCCCTTTTCACTTTCCCGCCAAGTCTGTGCGTCTTGTTGTATATTTTAATATTTGACCATTTGAACATCATAGCCAGAAAGACCTCTGTGCACTCAGGAAAAACCCCAAGGACACAGGATAATCAGACATGAGTCATAAAGATAAAATGCTGTTTAAACAGGGCGAATTATTAACTTTAAATAATAAACATTTTGACGAGGACAAAAGTACAGAACCTGATCTTGAGGCAGACTGGGAGATTCACCAACTGCATTCTGACGCCTCCCAGTGGATAGGGGACGTCAGCACACCCGGAAACCTCCACCCTTGGACGCATAAGGATGACGTCATCGGAAGTCTCCCTCATGAGCCCGTGTGTGTGTGTTTTTTGAGGTCAGACAGGACAGGGCACGGACAGGGAAAGACCAGGCAGAGAATAGGAGCACTTCTGTTGAACATTCTGTATCTGATTGTAAAGATAATTAAATGCAGATGTTAAACTTGAACATCGTTTGCCTTACTTCTGCATCCATTTTGAAACACGTTAGTCAAAGGGAATTATTGACTACAGTCTCTACTGAACAGTCCGTTCGTGCGTGCCGAGAGGTCCGTGCGTTGTGACGGTCGAACATGCGCCACCATAGACTTTGCATTGAAACCCGACGCAACGCATGATCCGGTCTGAAAGCACCATTAGGCTCAAAAACCTCACTATTGTCATATTTCACTCTCTGCACTCTCGCTCTGCTCTCTCTCTCTATCTATCTGCTCTCTTTCCCTCTACTGTCTGAAAAATCTGATCTAAACATATGAGTGTGACTTAAATTATGGCACATGTGGAAAGAGGTAGAAGCGACTCTTGTAGTGTGTCTTGTCTGTTTCTGAATAACTGTGAGGAAGAATGGGCCAGAATTCCACTGACCGGAGGAGAGTTGTAGCGGATACAGGGCGAGCTGCCACAGGAGCTGTCGGTCACCGTCATGGAAGCACTGGGCACCGGCACCGGACACGCTGACAGGAAACAGAATCATTACAGTTTGGACCAGATTCTATACAAAGAGGAGGTGAACGTTTAAGCTCAGACTCACATTTTTTAATGGTGACTGGAGACTCGAGGAATGGATGACTGAAGAAGGAGTCTGTAAAGAGATCACAGTTCAGTCTCTGCCTCAGTCTCTGCCTCAGTCTCTGCCTCAGTCTCTGCCTCAGTCTCTGCCTCAGTCTCTGCCTCAGTCTCTGCATCAGTCTCTGCCTCAGTCTCTGCCTCAGTCTCTGCCTCAGTCTCTGCCTCAGTCTCTGCCTCAGTCTCTGCCTCAGTCTCTGCCTCAGTCTCTGCCTCAGTCTCTGCCTCAGTCTCTGCCTCAGTCTCTGCCTCAGTCTCTGCCTCAGTCTCTGCCTCAGTCTTAGTTAATTCATAAACAGATGTAAAATATAAGGTACCAAAGTCCATGCGGTCCTTCTGGTTCCGCTGCAGCAGACCCAGAAGAAGGTTTGAGAGCGGAGCAGACGTCTCCCGGGGAATTCTGGCGGAAATCAAACCAGTTTCATTAAAGAATCGTCAAATTTAAGCGTTGAACAGCCCTCGCAGGCCTGTGTGTGTGTGTCTCTGAGTGTGTGTGTGTGTGTGTGTGTGTATCTCTCTCTCTCACATGGGTTGCAGGTTCTTGTTCTTCTCATAAAACAGACGCAGATCCTGAGGGCTGTTGGCCTGAAACATGCACAAAACAACTGAAATAGAGAGACCAGAAAGAAAGAGGCCAGAAAGAGACCAGAGAAATAGAGCCCAGAGAGAGAGAGACGGGGGAAAGACCAGAGTCTTCCAGACTCTGAGTACAGAAGTCTCACCTGGAACGGAGGTTTCCCCACGAGGCACTGGTAGATGACAGTTCCGATGCTCCACAGATCTGCTTTGGCATCGTAGTTCTGAGACATGATGACCTCTGGAGCCTGAGGAAGAGGAGGAGGAAGAGGAGATGATATAATATTATGTCATGTTAAAACACAAGGTCTCCCCCTCTCTGGTCTCCCCCTCTCTGGTCTCCCCCTCTCTGGTCTCCCCCTCTCTGGTCTCCCCCTCTCTGGTCTCCCCCTCTCTGGTCTCCCCCTCTCTGGTCTCCCCCTCTCTGGTCTCCCCCTCTCTGGTCTCCCCCTCTCTGGTCTCCCCCTCTCTGGTCTCCCCCTCTCTGGTCTCCCCTTCTCTGGTCTCCCCTTCTCTGGTCTCCCCTTCTCTGGTCTCCCCTTCTCTGGTCTCCCCTTCTCTGGTCTCCCCTTCTCTGGTCTCCCCTTCTCTGGTCTCCCCTTCTCTGGTCTCCCCTTCTCTCACCATGTACATAGGAGATCCGCACAGTGTGGCTGCCATCATGTTGCTCTGTAGATACCGTGCAAAGCCAAAGTCCGCTGTGGATCACACAACAGTAATATCTATTTAAGTTGCGTCTTTCACACAGAGTCACAATGCACTATACAATTGTTGTGGGTAAGTGCTAGTGTTAAGCCTGGTTCACACGAGACGATTTTAAAATTGTCGGCCGATTTTTTCCCCCGTGTGAGACCCCACACACGGAGATAAAAAATCACGGGTTTAACCACTTTGGTCGTACAGTGTGTGGTGCGCAGCCACATGGCAAAATCACGCAAACCACACACATCACACACGAACCGATTTCACCCCTGAGCATTCACAGGTCAGACGGAAATCTCACAACATCTCTCGAGATCAAGCGTGACTTCAGAGTAAACAGAGTGTGCGGGCCTCTCCGCTTCACGCAGCCTATAGAGAGTCTCGTCTGACCACAGCAGCCACAGACACCGTGAGGACAAACACATACATGTGGATTTTACTGCTCTACAGTTCTCTGGCCCGTGCTGTCTGTGCTGTTCAACAATACAGTTTGTACGGACTACCTGTGAACGCATCACACACACTGCTAGACATGAAACTTTACATACGCGCAAACCAACAAGCACGGCTGCGGTAACGGCTGCACCAACACGTCTGTACTGTATTAGGACAGAGTGCAAAGTAAACGTACAAACACAACCATCCGTCTGATCATTTAGTGTACTAATCCTGTCCGAATAGGGCTTATGCCAACACTACCTGTGCAGCAGCAATTTCTGCCCAATTCCTCGTCTTCTGATTGGCTACACACCGCAGTCATGGCAACGCGCTCGTCTGTCCTCGGGGGACACCACACACGAAGAGAAATCGGGCCAAAACAATCCAACATGTTGGATATCCCCGATATTGAGATCGGAGCAGTCCCGAAGTCCTTCCGAGCGACAAGCGCAGTCTTAACACACAACACACGGCAGGAAAATCCTTCAGATTTTTTGTTACGATATTCGGAGCGTTCTTACGATTGTCGTAGGGGTAAATCGGGTCCAAAATCGGCCTAATTATCCTGCCGTGTGAACCAGGCTTAAGTGTGTGTAAAACAGAAACTAGAAGTTCTGTACCAATCTTGACCCGGATGCCGCTGACCCCAGACTTCTTGCGGCCGGCGTACGACAGCAGAATGTTCTGAGGCTTCAGGTCTCGGTGGATGATCCCTTTACTGTGGAGGATCCTCATGGCTGCGGAGATCTGCTGCAGGAACACACGGAGCGTATCCTCCCGTAGGGTGCCTTTGGCTGAGGATACACATAGACACACACAGACTTTAACAGCCTTTTCTAAAGCCGGGGTGTGTAACTTTGACTCTCACAACACTGTCTCATTCAGGCCCCTCCCCCAGAGCAGAGGGCAGGACCAGGGTCTGGACCATGGCCTGAACCAGGTCCAAAAGTTGGCTCTTGATTCAACGCTACGTTCCAGATGCTGTCAATGCTGAGGGGAGCATGGTCCAGACCCTGGTCCAGAGGGTGTGGGACCAGGTGTGGGACCAGGTGTGAGGAGTTTCTTACCTTGGAGATAGTCGGCCAGGTCTCCTCCGTTACAGTACTGCAGAGAAGAGCAGAGGACACAGACGTTACAGGGAAAAGAGACTGAGGCCAGAGCGAGACAAGAGAGAGCAGAGAGAGCAGAGAGAGAGAGAGAGACACAGCCCAGTTCATGTTAGAACCAGTTTTAACTATTTTTGTTGTTGATCCTAAGTCTCCGTTGTTTAGTCCCTGCTCAGAAACATGAGTCACAGGAGTTTGTTTCATTTGTTTCTTATTCTGAAGTGTGACGTTTGGAGCACATTACAGAAATACAGAGTCTGTCAGGAGAAAGACTGGAGGAGGAGAGAGAGTCCATTTGGAGAGAGACTGAAGCAGGAGAGAGTCTGTCTGGAGAGAGAGTAGAGCAGGAGAGTGTGTGTATGTCACAGTAACTCGTTCAGTTTCTCATCGTCTCAAATGTGACGAGAGCAACATGTTCTTGTAAAAGCTTTTTATGTCTCATAAAACTTTCTATTTTTAAATGTCTGGACTCAGTCTGAAGTGAGGACACAGTACAGTCAGGACATCTTTAGAGGTTGAATTATCAGGAGAATTTATCAAAGAGTCTTTTAGAAAACCTGCATATTTAAAGGTGTTGATTAAATCTCTGTGCAGAACTTTGGAAACTTGTCTCTCTCTTTCTCTATCTTTTGCTCTCTCTGGCCTCTCTCTCTGTCAGGTCTCTCTTTCTCTCTCTCTCTCTCTGGTCTCTCTCCCTCTAGCATCTCCCACCCTCTAGCCTCTCCCTCGCTCTAGCCTCTCCCTCGCTCTAGCCTCTCCCTCGCTCTAGCCTCTCCCTCGCTCTAGCCTCTCCCTCTCTGACCTCTCTGACCTCTCTCTGACCTCTCTCCTCTCTCTGACCTCTCTCCTCTCTCTGACCTCTCTCCTCTCTCCCCTTTCCCTCTCTCTCTCTCTGATCTTGCTCCTATCTCTGGTCTCTCTCCCTCTCTTTCTCTGGTCTTGCTCCTATCTCTGGCCTCTCTCTCTCTGGCCTCACTCTCTCTGGCCTCACTCTCTCTGGCCTCACTCTCTCTGGCCTCACTCTCTCTGGCCTCACTCTCTCTGGCCTCACTCTCTCTGGCCTCACTCTCTCTGGCCTCACTCTCTCTGGCCTCACTCTCTCTGGCCTCACTCTCTCTGGCCTCACTCTCTCTGGCCTCACTCTCTCTGGCCTCACTCTCTCTGGCCTCACTCTCTCTGGCCTCACTCTCTCTGGCCTCTCTCTCTGGCCTCACTCTCTCTGGCCTCACTCTCTCTGGCCTCACTCTCTCTGGCCTCACTCTCTCTGGCCTCACTCTCTCTGGCCTCTCTCTCTCTGGCCTCTCTCTCTCTGGCCTCTCTCTCTAGCCTCTCTCCCTGGTCTCTCCCTGGTCTCTCCCTCTCTCTCCTTCTGTGCATGCCTTACATAGTGAAACAGCATCAGTGGAATGTGGCTCCTGTTCTTAGAAAACCTTTGGCTTCGTGTTCTGTTCTGTTTTCAAAGAACGTTACGACATCAGTGTTTACGCAGAGTTTCATTCAGACTGAGCAGAAAAACAACTGCAGGAACCTGACAAATCTACACTTTATACTATTATTGAAATAATTGAGGACAAGAATGTGCTGCAAGAGAGGGGCCAGAGAGAGAAAGAGAGAGAGAGAGGCCAGAGAGAGGAACCAGAAGGAGAGAGAGATCAGAGACCCAGAGAGAAAATAGGGAGAGACCAGGGAGAGAGCAGGGAGAGAGCAGAGAGAGAGACCAGAGAGAGAGCAGAGAGAGAGACCAGAGAGAGAGCAGAGAGTGACCAGAGAGAAATTAAAGAGAACTCCAGAAAGAGACCAGAGAGAGACAAGAGAGAGACCGGAAAGACACCAGAGAGAGACCAGAGAGAGACCAGAAAGAGACCAGAATAAGAGAGGCAAGAGCGTGGATCTATTATAATAACTGGATGGGGTATAACTAGTTTGTAGCTGAAGAACCCATGTGCTCGGGGGATTATCGCAGTACTGCAGACTAAATTCACGTGGACTACCCAGAAATTGTCCCCAAAGAACTTAATGTAAATTAAAACAGCTCAACCTCAGCTGACAGAGAACCTACAGCTTTCATAAAGGTCGGATTTTGTGGGGATTTTAGTGTCCCTTGTCCTCCTGAACTTTTTTATTCTTAAAGGACAACTCACCTTTTTTTTGCTGATAAATGGTATAAATGAGTGTCCAATAGTGTTGTCTACATATCCTGGTCATAATTTTGTCACTTTGGTGCAAATTAGTTGAAAGTTAAACTTTCTGCCTAAAACCGTCTGTGAGGCGCCATCTGCTGGCGACCTGTATTACTACATTTGAATTTTGAATCTGGCGCCAACACTGGCGCGGCCGCAAGACCTGACGTCTGAAGCAAGACCTGACGTCAGCAGCCCCCCGCCCAGAGCAATGTAAACGGCCCAGTCTCGTTCATGCCCCCTTTAGTCCTCCAGGCTACGCCCATTTAGACGAAGATTTGAACAGGAAATGTGAGTAACGTAAGCTCCGAGGAGCGGGGGTGAGAACCACTTTAAATCCTTCAGTTTTCTTTAAATCCACACTTTAGAGCAACAAACTCTGCTCCTTTCCTTCCCGCTCTGACTCCTCTTAGAGCACGGCCGAGCCCCTCTGTGCGCGTGCATGAGAGCCACACACGCGTCTTTGGAGCAACGCATCATGGGAAATCATCCACTGTGCAGAACCGGGAGGACCAGACGATGCCCAAATACGAGCGAGTTCCCATGGATCTTTGCGAGTGCCAGGCGAGTTCTGCTAATCTTTCAGCCCCCATGCCGGCACAACGCGCCACTAAGCACAAACCATTCATTTGAATACGGCGCCATCTTGGATCGCCGGCGCTTGGGCCAGAGAGACCATATTGCTAACTAGCATATGAGCATTGATCAATCTCTTCCTATTCAAGCACCTATGAATCCCATATCACATAGACACAAATCCTGTGTGTCTCCCTGCACTGCCCCTAGTGGTGGCTGATGTGAATGACGCTGAGTTTCTTGTGTCTTTTCTCACAGGACAGAACTGAGAGGCGGGTCCTGTCTGTCACGTGGGACCATGTGGGACCATGTGGGACCATGTGGGACCGTGTTTATGGACTTATTTTGACCCAGTCTGTGGTGTGTTGCAGATTTCCTCCGGGTGTTTACAGAAGCGGTTCTAATGTTGTTCTGACTCACCTCCATCACCAGGAACACAGAGTTTGGAGTTTCCTGAAACACAAAGAGGAACGAGGTTTTAGCGCAAACAACACAATTAAACACACAACACAGGACGGCGATGGAGAGAGAGAAACCACAAGATACGTATCCGATTCCAGATCAAATGGTATTGTATCACAAACACAAATATCTTCTTATATCTTTGAGCATGAGCTGTATTCGAGGAGAGGAGAAAGTGTGACATCACAACCTTAATGCAGAAGAGGCCGATTTTAAGTTTTCTTTACATGTAAGTCACCATGAGCATGTCCATCTGCATCCTCTCTCCCTCTGGTCGGTCTCTCTCTGGTCTCTCTCTGGTCTCTCTCTGGTCTCTCTCTGGTCTCTCTCTGGTCTCTCTCTGGTCTCTCTCTGGTCTCTCTCTGGTCTCTCTCTGGTCTCTCTCTGGTCTCTCTCTGGTCTCTCTCTGGTCTCTCTCTGGTCTCTCTCTGGTCTCTCTCTGGTCTCTCTCTGGTCTCTCTCTGGTCTCTCTCTGGTCTCTCTCTGGTCTCTCTCTGGTCTCTCTCTGGTCTCTCTCTGGTCTCTCTCTGGTCTCTCTCTGGTCTCTCTCTGCTGATGCTGCATGTGTGAATTATAAACACAAAGCTCAGGAGCTTAAGGGCTTTTCCAGACTGTGACTGGGGCAGATGGTGCTGAGAGGGAGGAGGGGGGAGGCAGGACGGGTGAGGACAGAGGGGAGAGGGAGGGAGGGGAGTTACATAATGAACAGTGTGGAAGCATCAGACCTCAAACCTACAGCCCAGAAATAATTGGAAGAAATGTAAACATGAAAATATGGAAATAAATAGGAAAATCATTGAGAAAATATAAAAAAATAGTAATTTCTTCAATCCCTTTTTCTATCTTTTTATGAGCCAAATTAGAGTCTAAAGTTGTGTAAATGACCCAGGGCTGGTCAAGTTAGGAAAATAAATGGGGAATAAGAACGGGAAAGGTTTATTTTTTATAAAAAACATATGAAAAGAGATATAATTATCTAAAAATGTATTGTTTTTTTATTCCAGCAAACCCCAGGTCACAGTCCACAGCAGACACAGAAACACACTGTGCCAGTCCAGAGGGACAAGGGACAAGGGTTAAAGGTCACACACACACACAGAGACACACACACATACAGAGGGAGAGAGAGGCACACACACACAGAGACACACACACACAGGCACGCTCTGACCTCAGCTCATGAAGTGTTTACGGGTCACAGTGACGCTGCATGATTAACTATGTCAAACAGACACGGTCGCAAGCGGGATTGGATGCCCAAGTGTGTGGGGGGGCATTCCAATGGGATTATATAAGATTATTATTTTGAACTAACATTTGTCAGCCGATAGTTATGCGTTTTTCCAGGAATAAACCAGGACTGGACCAGGACAAGACCAGGACAAGACCAGGACGGGACCAGGACGGGACCAGGACTATGCCTGTCTCTGTTCCAGGGATAAAGTGGACTAAACCAGGATTTGAGAACAGGATTACCATTGGACTAAACCAGGTGCAAAACGGAGGAACCAGGCCGAGACAGATCCAGGGATTATAGGAGCTGGTCCATGGCACGACACACACACATGGTATAAAGAGGGCGTGGTTTAGTTCGATACAGCGACAGTTGTGGACTATAAATGTTATATTATGATCAACCTGGGACAACAGGGCGAAAGGTTGGAGAGTTGTTTGGGCCAGTGTCAATATAAGAATTTTTCGCTTTCAAAATAAGTCTTAAAGTTACAGTAGGAGTACTCAGGACCAGAGAGAGAGAAAGAGACAAGTGAGAGAGAGACCAGGGAGAGAGACCAGAGAAAAAGACCAGAGAGAGAGACCAGAGAGAGAGAGATGTGATGGTGGGAATTGAGAGTTGGATTACATAAAGATCATCATATTAACGTGGTTTATTCAGAGTTGGATCGCGGTTCATATTTGTGGATTACTGTAACAGTTTCTCTAATCTGAGGTATCAGCTCCACATGTTTACACACTTACACAACAACAGGACTTTGGAAACACATACAGTCCCAGATCCAAAACCTGACCTAGAAACCTGTCTCCGGGGTCTCCCTCTGGTCTCTCTCTGGTTTCGCTGAAGACTCTCTCTCTCTCTCTGGTCTCTCTCTCTCTCAAGGGTCTATCTCTCAAGGGTCTATCTCTCAAGGGTCTATCTCTCAAGGGTCTATCTCTCAAGGGTCTATCTCTCAAGGGTCTATCTCTCAAGGGTCAATCTCTCAAGGGTCAATCTCTCAAGGGTCAATCTCTCAAGGGTCAATCTCTCAAGGGTCAATCTCTCAAGGGTCAATCTCTCAAGGGTCAATCTCTCAAGGGTCAATCTCTCAAGGGTCAATCTCTCAAGGGTCAATCTCTCAAGGGTCAATCTCTCAAGGGTCAATCTCTCAAGGGTCAATCTCTCAAGGGTCAGTCTCTCAAGGGTCTGTCTCTCTCCCTGGTCTCTCTCCCTGGTCTCTCTCCCTGGTCTCTCTCCCTGGTCTCTCTCCCTCGTCTCTCTCCCTCGTCTCTCTCCCTGGTCTCTCTCCCTGGTCTCTCTCCCTGGTCTCTCTCCCTGGTCTCTCTCCCTGGTCTCTCTCCCTGGTCTCTCTCCCTGGTCTCTCTCCCTGGTCTCTCTCCCTGGTCTCTCTCTCTATTCATGTTAAATCCAGTGACAGCGTCAACACCATAGACTGTATATATTAACGGACAGAGTCACGCCTATCTTCGCTGTTCTAACTAATGGGCCAAAAATAATGCTCTACTGGAGCTATCCAAAATGGCCACGAGTGGTCCCGCCCACAAGAAAATTGTGAGAAAATGCATCTGCGCATGCGTCAGCTGGCGCAGCTCCATTCATTTGAATGATAGACTTCAAAAATTCACAGCAAGTAAACTAGAGTGGTCCAAAATAATCCACCCCCCTCAGCATTGACACACATGTGGAACGGAGCTTTGGGCCAAGAGCCAACTTTTGGACCATCCTGTAAAGACGTTTTCCAGAGGTCTACCAATGCTATATGTTAGCATTGGCTAATTCTTCTTCTGGGTCCACCCCCATCGGCCCGGGGTGGTATTGCAAGCATGTCAGCACACATCATTTTGGCCACTTTTGAGCCGGGACCCGCCCCCACTGATTAACACATAATTCAAAACACTTTAGGCAGTATTTGAGTATTTTCAGTTTAAGCCTTAAACTCCAACAGTCAAATACCACCTTAAAGTTTATGGTGGTATTTTAAGGCGGCTCTGTGAGTAGAGAGGCTCAGTCCCAGATCATGTGAGGCTGAAGCATGTTCATTATGTCATGCGAGAACCAGAGGCACGTGTTATGTAAAGGGTGAAAGGGTGGGGGGAGGGGGGGAGGAAGAGGGGGAGGGGAGACGGCTCACGGACACACACACACAGTAAAAGTCACAGGATTCACCCGCTTTTGGACTTTGTTTGAGCCCCTCTCCCCCTCTTTCTGCCCCAAACCCACTGCGCTCCTCTCTAACCGGGACAGTGTGTTCTTAGAAAGCAGAGAACACTGAGACAGTTACATCAGGCGCTGGTTCAGAGTCCAATAGAATGACGAGTTTCATAACAGACAAACAGAACTGTGGGTCTAAAAACATAGGAGAGGGGGGGAGAGGGGGAGAGGGGGACTGTTAATGTTGTTCTTTAGCTAATTCAGAGCTGAGGTTGTTGGAGCTCCATGCCAGGAGGAAGACAAACAGAGAGAGAGAGAGACCAAAGAGAGACAAGAGAGACCAGAGAGACCAAAGAGAGATAGACCAGAGAGAGACCAGAGAAAGACCAGAGAAAGACCAGAGAAAGACCAGAGAAAGACCAGAGAAAGACCAGAGATAGACATAAGAGTGAGACCAGTGAGACAAAAAAAATATAACATGTTTTCAAGTAAGAGGATTTGAACATTATATACTTTTGGGCAAACTCCATATGTTACTTATGAAAATCTGTGCTGCTGTTTGTGGTTCAGTGAGGACAGCGGTCACAGATGGTGCTGTTGTTTAGACGTTTCATCAGACACAGAGATAAGAACGTTACCTGGACGTCGTAAAGAGCCACTATGTTCTCATGCTGCAGCTCCTGGAACAAAAACAACACAACATCAACACACAGTGACACACACACAAAGACCAGGGACAACAGAAGTCAGCAAAAACATCTTTGAGAGAGAGACCAGAGAGAGAGACCAGAGAGAAAGACCAGACAGACCAAAGAGAGAAACCAGAGAGAGAGACCAGAGAGAGAGACCGGAGTGAGAGACCAGAGAGAGACCAGACAGACCAAAGAGAGAGACCAGAGAGAGACCGGAGGGAGAGACCAGAGAGAGACCAGACAGACCAAAGAGAGAGACCAGAGAGAGACCAGACAGACCAAAGAGAGAGACCAGAGAGAGACCACAGTGAGAGACCAGAGAGAAAGACCAGACAGACCAAAGAGAGAGACCAGAGAGAGAGACCAGAGAGAGACCAGACAGACCAAAGAGAGAGACCAGAGAGAGAGACCAGAGAGAGACCAGACAGACCAAAGAGAGAGACCAGAGAGAGACCAGACAGACCAAAGAGAGAGACCAGAGAGAGACCACAGTGAGAGACCAAAGAGAAAGACCAGACAGACCAGAGAGAGAGACCAGAGCGAGTATTTGGTCCTAACTCACCTTGAGGATTTTGATCTCTTTGCCGAGCAGGATCTGGGACTTGGACAGGTTCTTCTTGTTGATGCTCTTGATAGCTACCTCCCAGTCCGTTTTCTGCAGTAGACAGGGTTACAGTCAGAAGGTACAACGAAACCAAAACTACTCACACAAATAGAAACTGGTGTCATTAGCCCCGTTTCCACCAGCTCTGCTCGGCTCTTCTCTACTCTATTGTGTTTTTCCATCACACTTTAGTAGCCGGTACTGTATCCTAGCAACCTACCCACAACAAACCAGTATCACAAAACTCAATCCGTCTATAGCACTCGTGAAGCTGGTGAGAGTAAACATTTGTCATCCAGCCAACTTCAGCTGCGATGTCATACCTCATTATAAAAATTCACAACAATTTTCCCATGTATGTTGCCGGTTCCCTGGACAATTGCGGTAAACTAAAGTTGTCATTTAACTAAAAGGTTTGGACACTTAGAACATCCCAAAACAATGCATCTATTGAGAAGATTTGTATGGAAGAATGGGCCAAAATACCAGCTACAGTTTGTGGAAACCTGGTGGATTATGTGAATAAATTGTCACACCCTGTCATCTCTCACAGTTGAGCTGCACCTATGATAAATATTAAAGCCTCCACACGTACTTTCCTTAAGAACTAAATACTTATTTGCCGCGGGGGTAAACGTGGAGGAGACTGTGGCAGACTCGGGGTAAACAGTCACTTTCAGATGAAATTGGATCTGTGTGCTTAGCGTTTAGTTTCTGAGAGCGGATGACAGGAGCTCTGTATGCTAACGGCTTCATTAGACTGATGAATGACAAGGCTAAAGCTAACAGCTACATTAGACTGATGAATGACAAGGCTAAAGCTAACAGCTACATTAGACTGATAAATGACAAAGCTAAAGCTCTTCCCTCTGAAGTGGATGATGAGGCTAAAGGCTTCTTCACGTGAACAAATCCTCCAGGCTCAAAATAACTCTGGTGTTTACAGAAGCGACCCACATCAGACTCTACAGCTGATGGAGACTGGGTTTGGGACCTAGGTAGGACCACGTTTGGAGCATGTTTGGACCTGTTCTGGTCTTGGTTTAGTCCTTATTTGGACCTAGTTTGGGATCAACTCTGAACCCGGGTTACAGTGTAAACTTTACACTGTGTTTGGAACCAGTTTGGACCTGGATTATGATCTAGTTTGAGTCTTGTTAAGGACCTAGGACCTAGATTATGCCTGGTTAGGGAGCTAGTTTGGGGCCAGATTGGGCCTGGTTCAGTCCTGGTCTAAAGCAGAGACTTAGTTTGGGACCAGGTCTGAACCAGGTTTAGATTTAGTTTGGAACCAGTTTGGACATAGATTGTGATCTAGTTTGAGCCTTGTTTAGGACCTAGCTTATGACTGGTTAGGGGGCTAGTTTGGGGCCTGGTTGGACCTGGTTCAGTGCTGGTCTAAAGCAGAGACTGAGGCAGAGACTGAGGCAGAGACTGAAGCAGAGACTGAAGCAGAGACTGAGGCAGAGACTGAGGCAGAGACTGAAGCAGAGACTGAGGCAGAGACTGAAGCAGAGACTGAAGCAGAGACTGAGGCAGAGACTGAGGCAGAGACTGAAGCAGAGACTGAGGCAGAGACTGAAGCAGAGACTGAAGCAGAGACTGAAGCAGAGACTGAAGCAGAGACTGAAGCAGAGACTGAAGCAGAGACTGAAGCAGAGACTGAGGCAGAGACTGAGGCAGAGACTGAAGCAGAGACTGAAGCAGAGACTGAGGCAGAGACTGAAGCAGAGACTGAAGCAGAGACTGAGGCAGAGACTGAAGCAGAGACTGAAGCAGAGACTGAGGCAGAGACTGAGGCAGAGACTGAGGCAGAGACTGAGGCAGAGACTGAAGCAGAGACTGAAGCAGAGACTGAAGCAGAGACTGAAGCAGAGACTGAAGCAGAGACTGAGGCAGAGACTGAGGCAGAGACTGAGGCAGAGACTGAAGCAGAGACTGAAGCAGAGACTGAAGCAGAGACTGAGGCAGAGACTGAGGCAGAGACTGAGGCAGAGACTGAAGCAGAGACTGAGGCAGAGACTGAGGCAGAGACTGAAGCAGAGACTGAGACAGAGACTGAAGCAGAGACTGAGGCAGAGACTGAGGCAGAGACTGAAGCAGAGACTGAGGCAGAGACTGAGGCAGAGACTGAAGCAGAGACTGAGGCAGAGACTGAGGCAGAGACTGAAGCAGAGACTGAGACAGAGACTGAAGCAGAGACTGAGGCAGAGACTGAAGCAGAGACTGAGGCAGAGACTGAGGCAGAGACTGAAGCAGAGACTGAGGCAGAGACTGAGGCAGAGACTGAAGCAGAGACTGAGGCAGAGACTAAAACAGAGACAAAAGCAGGATGTCAACAGATTATTCTTCCATCTGAATTACAGATTAGTCATTGTTCCTTCTTTATGAATGAGCAAGTCTTTTTCTAATAATAAGGGGAAAAACTGCTACTACTGCTGCTACACATGTCATATTTAGACTAAAACATACTGTTATAACAGTATAAACAGAACAAGACAAAGATTATCAGCACAACATGGGCCAAAATGCTGCTTTATAGAAGAAATTTGTAAACAATCTGGGACGTACTCTCTGCCTCAGTCTCAAATGTTTCACTGTGGCAAAGGTTTCAATGCAAACAGTGGATTGTGTCATTGAGAAAATATTGCCCAAAATATGTGACGCTCAGAGCCATATGCTGCTCACTGCAATGCCCTAGATTTCCCAATGAATATTTAACAGTGCCACTATAGACCAGGCATCTAGTAGAGCAGCCATTCCCAAACTCAGTAACACCGAGGCCCCCTTAAAAATCTGACGGGTCTGCGTGGCCCCCCAAAATAATAACCAAGAAGACAACATTAAGAATAGGCTCTTCTGGTTATTTTATTTTGGGGAAATAGCCTCTGCTACAAACATTGTAATACAAAAATGATTACAGTGGATTATTAAAGTCAAATAATGAACACAAATATTTTAATATTACAAACAAAACATTATAAATTTAACATAAAATAATTACATTATTATTATTATTATTTTTTTATGACCTCCCGCGGCCCCCCTGCAGTACCCTCGCGGCCCACCAGGGGGCCGCGGACCCCACTTTGGGAGACACTGTAGTAGAGTATTAGGGAGAGGAGAGCGGGAGGAAAGAAGAGAGAACAGGGGGGAGAAAGGAGAGATGAGTGGGGAGAGAGGAGAGAAGTCTGGTGGAACTAAAGTGGCCCTGCTATTATTACTGTGTATTTACCTTTCTATGGCGTCCTTTAAAGACCACTGCGAAGGCCCCGTGTCCCACCAAGTCCTTCCTGCTGTACTCGAAATCTCCCACTATCTCCATTGCAAAAGAATGAGACGTCTTCTTTCAAATGATCCACTTTATGTTTAGTTCTCCAGATGCAGAAACATGGGATGCAGTACTCCAGGACGTGGGCAGGTCACACACATACACACACAGAGGATGGGCAAGCTGCAATTATGTGTTATTCCACTGGTTTTACAGCAATCCAGCTTTGCAATCCTCTTCACACAGGCTTCCCCTCGCACAGAATACGTTCACCATTGATTTCTACATGATGCCAAACCTGTCAGAGACTTAAACACAAGGAAATGTGCCCAAGATGAGAAGCTATCTGTGTGCAAGGCGATGACACAAGCCCACTGCTGCTGCTGCTAACGTCATAGCTGCTGCTCCTTCTCTGCCAGCATCGAAAAGGCAAATACAGAAGACATTTATTGCATTTCACGTGTTTCGCAGTGTTTTGACACGTAGAATTGACGTGGTTAGCATGAATTAGCATGAATTAGCTATGGAGCAAACAGCAGACATAGCTTTAGGATGTCAACACAGCAGCCCCGTGATGGAAATGTCCTTGTTTGTCCGCTAATTGTTTATTACGGAGGCTCTCAAAGGCGTCGCGATGTCCGTCACGTAAAAACAAATAGTTGTTATTCCAGAAATTAGCCAATAATCCAGGGAATCTGAGTTGTTCGCGTCCTTCGTGCTAAAAAATAAAGGCACGGGAAGCTAGGAGTTTGCAGCGAATTCAACCGTAGTGTCAGGTTGAAGTCCGGTTGATGATAAAACACAACAAAGCTGCTTATTAATGTTTTTTGTGAGGCTTTATTATGTGTGCACAGTCTATTCTAGTTAAGGTTACGCAAGTGCACGCGTCTTGCGACTGACAACACTGCGTTAAAAAGGGCTGCCTCGGTCTTTATACCCGTGCGTCAGCGCGAACGCCTACGTCACATGAACCTCCGCGAAAATAGTCCGTGGGAAAAACGTGAAAAACAAATAAACACAGTACCTTAATATTGAAAATGTATCAGTTTAAAGTCTATACTTAAGTTAATTGTATACACACAAATAATTAAAACTGAAGTGACTATATGTTGCCTTGTAGGTATCTGTGTATATATATATGTGTGTGTGTATGCTCTTACACTGAAGGGTCAAACCGGAAGTGTATGTCTGTACCCAATAAATGACGCGGTGCGCTCCATGCGTGAGATTGAGCCGGTCAAAGAGACTGATGAGTTGTGTGTTTTCCTCCGTCAGTAGATTCTTGTTACCACGGTTATCCCGCCCTCATAATGCTGCGATCAACAGGTTATGGGCCCAGAAGGGATGGAGGAGGCCGATGGAACCGATTGTGCTTCGACGGGGACGAAAGAAATTATGAACTGTGGGAAACTAAATTCTTGGGACACCTGCGGCTGCTCGGGCTGAAGGAGGCCATTTTAAACGAGCCAGGTGAGCACGAGGAAGATGAAGATTCTCACGAAGCTAAGAACGAAGAAGCTTATGCTGAGCTTATTCAAGTCTTGGACGATAGAAGCCTCTCACTTGTGATGAGAGAAGCTACAGACAATGGAAGAGAAGCGCTTAAGATACTAAGAGAGCACTACTCTGGTAAAGGCAAGACTCGTGTTATTAGCCTGTACACGGAGCTAACATCGCTTCAGAAGACTGAGAGCGAGAGCGTGACAGACTATATCATACGAGCAGAGAATGCCATCACAGCTTTAAGAAATGCTGAAGAGACTTTGAGCGATGGGTTGCTTGTGGCAATGGTACTAAAAGGATTGCCTGAAAGTTTCAAGCCATTTTCCATCCACATTACCCAGAGCGAAAAAGAAATCAAATTCAGCGAGTTCAAAGCAAAGCTAAGGAGCTACGAGATCACAGAAAAGCCTGTAAACTCAGAAGACAACGTAATGAAGATGAGTAACTGGCAGAGAAATAAAAACAGAGACAATGTAGAGATCAAATGTTACAACTGTGGAAAGAAAGGTCATATTGCACGTGAATGCTATGCGAAGAGTGACAGACCTGAGTCTAAGGAGAAGCAGTGGTGTAGTTACTGCAACAGTTCCACACATAAAGACAATAATTGTAGACTACAAAAAAAGACGAATGTTAAACATGTTGCAGATTCTGAAGATCATAGTTTTGCATTCAAAGTAAATGACTGGAATGTTCCGGGGCTGAAACAGAGAGGCTTGATGGTCGATACAGGAGCCACGTCTCACATTGTAACGAACATTAAAAGTTTCAAAAGGTTTGACGATGCTTTCACACCGGAAAGTCACTTCATGGAGCTGGCGGACGGGACGAGAGCGAGTGGTGTCGCGCTAAAGAGAGGAGCGGCAGAAGTCTACCTGCAGGACAGCGAGGGACACCGTGTAAAGGCAACGCTGGAAGGAGCACTTTACATCCCCTCATATCCACAGGACATCTTCTCAGTCCAGGCAGCGACGACCAGCGGAGCAGCAGTCACATTCAAGAAAGGATGCAACCAACTTGTTCACAAGAATGGTACAAGGTTCGACATCAATGAATATGGACGCTTGTACTACCTGAGTACAGTTGAGGTAAACAATGACTATGATGAATGCAATGGATGTCATGATATTGAAACTTGGCACAGAATTCTTGGACACTGTAATTATGAAGATTTGTCTAAACTAGAAAATGTTACTATGGGTATGAAGATCAAAGGGAAAGCTAAGCAAGATTGTAAAGTGTGTGTTAAAGGAAAGTTTATACAAACCAGAAGTAGAGAGCCTGACGAGAGAGCAAAAGCGGCGTTAGAGCTAGTGCACACTGACTTAGCGGGACCGATTGACCCAGAGGCAAAAGACGGGTTCAGATACTCTATAGCTTTTACTGACGACTATTCAGGTACAACTTTTGTTTATTTCTTGAAAGCTAAAAGTGACACTGTAGAAGCGATTGAGAAATTTCTAGCAGATGTCGCCCCCTATGGGAAAGTGAAAAGAATCAGATCAGACAACGGCACAGAGTTCACTTCCAGAGAGTTTCAATCATTACTTAGAAAGAACGCAATAAGACATGAAACCTCTGCACCGTACTCACCCCATCAGAATGGGACGGCCGAGAGAAATTGGAGAACACTATTTGAGATGGCACGTTGTATGTTGCTTGAGAGTAATTTACCTAAAAGACTATGGACTTATGCTGTTATGACTGCTGCAGTGATTCGCAACAGGTGTTACAACAGACGCACAGGACAGACCCCTTACTATTTGTTGACAGGGAGAAAGCCTGACATGTCTAAAATGCACGTTTTCGGATCAGTTTGTTTCAGTTATCGACAAAACAGAAAAAAACTAGACGCAAAATGTGATGAGGGAGTTTTTGTGGGATACGATAAAAACAGTCCGTCATATCTTGTCTATTATCCAGAAACGGGTCGAGTTCTCAAACACAGATTGGTTAAGTTCCTCACTACAAGTGGAGATGAGTGCCAGAACGAAAAGACTCTGGACGAAGATGATTTTCAACCAGTTGGAATATACTGTAAAAGGTTGGACAAGACAATCAATAAAAGTATGGAAGAGACAAAAGAGCCGGACACTGAAACACAGGACAATGTGACAAGTGACAGTGAACAAAGACCGGAGAAACACAGTGAAAACACTGAAGGACGATATCCGAGACGAGATAGAAAGACTCCACAATATTTGAAAGACTATGTTTATGCTGATGATGACCAAACTTTGATGAACATTGACTATTGTTACAGGTTGATGTACGGCGTACCAAAGACATTTGATGAGGCTATGCACTCTCCGGAGTCCGGGTGTTGGTCTAATGCCATGGAGGACGAAATGAGATCGCTAAAAGAAAATGACACTTTTACCCTGACCACATTGCCAGAAGGTAAAAACGCAGTGGGGGGAAGATGGGTGTATACAAAAAAGGAGAGCCCAGGCCAATCTGAGACATTTAAAGCCAGATATGTTGCTAAAGGCTACAGCCAAGTAGCTGGGATTGACTTCAAGGAAACATTTTCGCCGACTGCAGACATGACGTCAGTTCGTTGTTTAATGCAGATGGCAGCACAGTACGACTTAAAACTTCACCAAATGGATGTAAAAACTGCTTACTTGTTCTCGCCTATTCATTGTGAGTTGCTTATGGAGCAACCAGAAGGTTACGAAGTTAAGTCAAAGACTGGTATGAAGCTAGTTTATAAGTTGAATAAATCACCATATGGTTTGAAACAATCAGGGAGAAACTGGAATAAAATGTTACATGATCATTTGTGTGACATGGTTATGAAAATCTGTAATGGTTATAGTAGCTAAAACATTAATCTTGGGGATGATGACTATGTACACAAGACCAAAAATAGGAATGTTGATAAAGATCAAAATGAAAGACCTCAAACAATGACTTACAAGTCTAGGAGTAAAGATAATCAAAAATAAAAAACTGGAAAGATTTAACATGTCAGACTGTAAGCCACGTTCTACTCCTTGTGAGCTGAAACAAAACTTTGAAGTAGAAGGTGAACTAGTAGATTCTGGTAGATACAGAGAACTAGTGGGCAGCCTGATTTATTTAATGACATGTACAAGACCAGATTTAAAGTTGGATAGTGAGTAAACTGTCACAATACTGGTCTGCACCAAAAGAACATCACTGGACAGCAGTAAAACATGTGAGTTATGTTATAGAAAGACAGACGGTAATCTCAGTCTTATAGCAGACAGTGATGCAGATGTCACAGATTTGTGTGACAGGAGAAGAACGACAGGACTGTTTTACACTCTCTGAGAGTGGGCCTATTATATGATGGAAAGTAGAAAGCAGGCTACAGTAGCTTTGTCAACGTGTGAGGCACAGTACATGGCGATGGCCGCCACAGTACATGTTTATACCTCTCACAACTACTTAAAGGATTGGACTCTGAGAAACAATATTTACCCGTTACCATGTATGCAGATAACCAGGGTGCAATAGCATTGTCTAAAAACCCTATTAACCGACAAAGATGTAAACATATTGACATTCGATTCCATTTCATT